CCCCCGGCTCCCCTTACCCCTCCCCCTCTCTTACCTTATTATCCACTTTTTTTTGTGTTTCCCGCTCGGCTTCCCCGCAAATCAAGCATGATCTCCCGGGAGCTTACGGATAGTTTCTGAACGGTGATGCACAGACCGGGTCTAATGGCGCCAATTTATCTTTCCCTATTGCGCTCGGCATTCCTGACACGGCCGGTTCGGCCTGCGGTCCTGTCGCCAACGAGGGCGAGTGTGCAAAGAACAGTTGGATCATCGGCTTTGTGAATTCCATGCCCTACATCACGATATGTCTCTTGTGAGTATAGTGAGGACCTGTTTGGGGTTTAGACAGGGGGGAGAAGACATGCTGATCGATGACGAATAGCGCTGGCTGGATCTCCGATCCCCTGAATGACCTCCTCGGCCGACGAGGTGTCATCTTTACCGCCGCCATATTTTCCCTGATTGCACCCTTTGGCATGGCTGTTTCGCAGACGTGGGGTCAGCTCGCGGCGTGCAGGTGAGGAGCTAGCCAACCCGGCAATCTCGACAACACCAACAGCGACATTGTGATGCTGACCCAATGTGAATAGAATGTTGCTTGGCATCGGCATGGGCTTGAAAGAAGTCACAGTTCCCGTCTTCTCCGCCGAGAATTCCCCCACTCTTATCCGTGGCGGCTTGGTCATGTCTTGGCAGGTCTGGACCGCGTTTGGTGAGCCTCAGAGCCCCCCCGAAGAACCCCAAGAAACACCAAGAGATGGGCGACAGTCAAGACTTCTTGGTGTCTCTTGGCGTACCGCTGCAGAATACTGATCCTCGCAAGGTATCTTCCTTGGCACATGCGCCAACCTCATCGTCGGTAAGACGGGTGATATTGCTTGGCGTCTGCAGTTCGGCTCTGCCTTTATCCCAGCCGTCCCCCTCGTCATCGGAACCTACTTTTGTCCCGAGTCTCCTCGATGGTATCTCAAGAAGGGCAAGCATCTCAAGGCGTGGGGCTCGCTGCTGCGCCTGCGCAATACGCCACTCCAAGCCGCCAGGGACCTGTTTTATATCCATTCGCTCTTGGAGTACGAGGAGACCATGGTGAAGGAGGCCGGGCTCAAGGTCACGAGCAACATGTTTACGCGCTTCGTCGAGCTATTCACAATCCCTCGTATCAGGCGCGCGACGTGGGCTTCTGGCGTTGTCATGATTTCACAGCAAATGTGTGGAAGTAGGTACCTCGAACGGCGACTTTGTTTTCACAGTACGAGACTAACACGCTTGTGTACAAGTCAACATCATATCGTTTTATAGTTCGACCATATTCAAGCAGAGTGGTATCAGCGACTACACTGCTCTGTGGGCTAGTTTTGGATTCGGCCTGATCAACTTTACATTCGCTTGGCCTGCTGTATGGACGATAGACACGTTTGGCCGAAGGGCTCTTCTGCTTTTTACCTTTCCCAACATGTTTTGGACTCTGCTTGGTACGTTATTCCTTCATGTTTGCAAGACTTTGCGGGGAAGTGCTAATATGATAGTATAGTGGCTGGACTCTGCTACCTCATCAACGACAGCACCGCCAGAATTGCCGCAGTGGCAACATTCGTCTACCTCTTTGCTGCCTTCTACTCTCCAGGTACGTCATCTCGAGACCTCATTCTAACCAACATGGCCAGAAAAACACTAATCGCCCCCATAGGCGAGGGCCCTGTCCCCTTCATGTACTCAGCCGAAGTCTTCCCCCTCTCCCACCGCGAAATCGGCATGTCCTGGGCCGTGGCGACCAACAACTTTTGGGCCTCGGTACTGTCCCTCACCTTCCCGCGCATGATTATCGCCATGACGGCGACGGGCGCCTTCTCCTTTTATGCGGGGCTGAACCTGGTCGCCCTCGCGCTCATTTTCCTCTTCGTGCCTGAGACCAAACAGAAGTCACTCGAGGAGCTCGACTACGTCTTTGGCGTGCCCGAGCGGAAGCACGCGGCGTATCAGCTCAAGACTGTTTTGCCGTGGTGGACGAAGCGGTGGATCTTTCAGAAGAAGGGTGCGGTGTGCCCGGATCTGTATCATGATGAGAATTCGGAGAATCAGCCTCGTGGGGAGTAGATGCTCTTTTCCGGAGAGAGGAGAGAGAAGAGGTAAGGCAGCTTGTTGGGTCTGGACTTGACGTCCTTGGATGTGGGTGGATTGTGGGTTTATCAGCGTGGCAGATATGTCTGCTAGACTCTCCTAAGCGAAGCGAACAGTTGTTCAAGGATCTAATGGCGGAATTCTATCCCGTCGTCGTTGGAATTATCTAGTGGAAATCGTACTATACCCTTCGTTACCGAAAAATCTACTTTCTTTTCTCAATGCTGGTCTACAATCGCGGCGCGTTGAAGCAATATACTCGTGATCATTGTATTGGCCTGTTCCTCTCCATTGCCGCGACCTATCCTAAGCCCAACTGCCAGCGAACTCTGCCCTTTGGAGGGCATTCTAAAGCGTATAACGGAACTGTGATTCTCACATCAGCGAACATTTCAAAGCAACTGGGAACAGGGATGGATACTCACGTAAGGGTTCTCGAAATCGGTATAATCCTGCTCGCCAAGCTCCTTGCCCCTCTGCGCCCTCTCCTCCACAGTCAACCCATCCGCAGCCATGGCAGCGTCCCTCTTCCTGTTCCTCCTCACCAGCACGAACCGCCACGTCAGAATGAGCGTAAACTCCAACCCGAAGCAGACGGCGCACCCAATCGTGCCGGGCGTGTACTTTGGCGCGTCGGCCGCCTTGAAGATTTGGCTGCCGACCATGTTGCCCACGCAATATCCGACAAAGGTGAAGCTGGACGTCATGGTGCGCTTGGTGCGGCCCGCAATATTGCTCGGGATCAGGGTCCAGGCGAGGAAGAGGCCGAGCACAAAGGGAACGGTGATGAAGTAGCACCCCCACTTTGTCCACTTGATGGCCGGGTCGTTGGGCAGGAGGGACATGCCGAGAAAGCCGGCGAAGGGCGGGAGCATGGAGGCGGCCATGATCCAGAGGCGGAGGTTGGGCTTTTTGCTGGTGAGGAGGCCGACGCAGACGAAGATGATGACGGACAGTACGGAGCGGGGGATGTCGATGAGGATGGTTTGGAGGTTGTCTGAGGGGGAAGGGGGAGACACTAGTTAGCATGCTTTGAAGATTCAAGAGTATAGAAAAGCTGAAGGAGGGAAAAATGGATTAGTGTACATACTGAAGCCAAAGGAAGTCATAATGATGCTGCCAAAAGTCGTGAGCCCACCATTGGGTACGGAGCTGAGGAAGGCGTTTATGCCGGCGAACCAGAAGCAGGGGTCGCGGAGGCATTCGACGACCTGCTTCCACTTCCAGCCTTTGATGGCGGTGCGGTCATGGCCTGTATTATTGGAAATGATGCGCGCGCTCGCCTGCGACGGAATGAGTTGGTGCGAACTAATAATATTCAAAGCGTTGGATTTCTTACCATGTCCTTTTCGGCCTGCGTCAGCCACCTCACCTCGGAAGGCGTGCCGAGGAGGAATAGACAGAGACAGCCGATGGCAGTCGTCAAGCTACCCAAGAACTGGCAAAAAGCCGTCAGCGATATCTTTCATGCAGGGGCGACAATCGAGAACCAAGCGGCTCGGGGGCAAACTCACGAAAGAAATGTACCGCCACGGCTGGGCCCCTTCTTTGTGCTGCGTCGACGCTCCGATGCCGTACATGATGAGAGAGGCAATGACGCCGAAGCCGGCGTTGGCGCTCTGGAATACCAGCGACCTCGACGCGTGCTCGCGCGTCTTGTACCACGTGCCGACGAGCAGCATGAAGCCGGGCGAGATGCAGCACTCAAAGGCGCCCTGCAGCGCACGGAGGACGATGAGGTGGGTAAAGTTTTGTGCGAAGCCGATGCAGAGCACGATGATGCCCCAGCAGATCATGTAGACGGAGAGGGTGCGGCCCATTTTGTAGCGTTGGAGGACGATGTTGCTTGGGAACTCGAAGCACATGTAGGTTATGTCTGGACGGTGCCAATTGTATTAGAGTCGTATTCCTTTTTGGGGGGGGGGGGACATGATGGTAACTGGGGAATCTGCCACGAGAGAAGTGCGCAATGTGATGGCACGTACAAAAGATTGTTGTGAGCCAGCTGTACTCCTGGCCCTTCAAGCCTGTGTCTTGACGGAGACCGAATATGGCTTGGGTGCCGAGCGCCGTCTTGTCGGTTTGCTGGATGCCGTAGCAGAACCACATGAGAGGTAGGAGGTACTTGTCGACCTTTCTCTTGAGCTTGTGGTATTCCTCCTTGGTGTACCGGCCCTCAACGGCGACTGCGTTGATCTTGTTAGCGCACACGCTTTTTAGGTAGGCGTTATAACCCAATGCAGGAGGGGAGAAGTTTTGATCTCACCGAGGTCAGTTTCGCCATTTCTCTCACTGGTCGTGTCGGATTGGTCCTGGTCCGACACGATGGCAATCTTCTTCTCCGTCATGGCGGGAGCTTCGATGTCTTGGGGAGAGGCCATACTTGCGATGGTTCACGAAGGGGACCTCGAGGCGGGATGACTGAAGGTCAAACTTCACAACAGGATTTCAAGAAGACGAGAAAGGTTCATTCACATTGGCCTGCCTGCTTCCAGGTAAAGGATGGCCATAGCTCGCCGGCCACATAAAGGGATATTATATGAGCATCAATGCTACAGTGCCACGGCGTGGTAGCTATCGCGTGCCAAAGGCGACGTAACCCCTCCCTGGTCGCATTCTAGATAAGGATTCCCGCGGGGAGACACAGGGCAGAGAAAATGCGACACACACATACACACATAGAGATTAGTGTAGAGAGACCGAGATCTTGCGTAGAGGGCAATCGCTACCACCGAGCGCAAAATAGCCGACCGCGTGGCTAATCCTGGTGGAACTACGGCAAGCAACATGGACAGTGACAAGGTGCCTTCCTGCACGCCGACCCTGTGATTCTGCATCGGACGACGGGCAGCGGGGGTCTACAGATATGTGTGGGTGGGTAATGTGTGCAGCCCGTTGCATCTTCGACATCTCTCTCATCCAGGCATACATCTGGGGGGCCCAGAGATAAGACCCAATGAGGGGAGAGACATCTCCAACGATTAAAGAGGTTGAAAGCGAAAGATTCCCGTCGCGTCGGGTAATGATACTCGATGTTGAGGGGGGGGAAGGCGAGCGGACATGCAGGGATGTGTTCATGACGTTCCATCGTACGCGCTGCGAAGCCGCATCGCATCTTTGCCGACGGCGAAAAGGACGTTGATAGGAGGCGGGGTTTTGAGAACTTGAGATGCGGGATGATAAGGCGGGAGAGGCGGGGCCAAGGCCGATGTTAAGGGTCCCTCCCCTGCCGGCGAAATGTCCGAAGACCGGAAACTTGACTTCAGTCGATATAATGCGCCCCTGTGCCTCGATGAGACAACAGTCAAGATAGAGCAGAAGGATCAAAATGGCCTGGTCAGGTCACGGATCCTTTCCGGGCGCCAAGACGTCAGCGGAGCATTCCGTTTTGCCTCCTTGCTAATTCCTGAATCCCTCTCAACTGAGGAGGGGGAAGCCGGGGTTGTCTTATCTTACCCCAGCTGCAAGCATGGGGAGGGGAGAGAAGCCGGACGTGGCCGAGTGATAACAGATAAAGCCGAGATCTCGCCATCTATATGCGGCAATGGCGAAGAGCGCAGCCACCCGCGTTGCTTCTGTAATATGCCTTGTCGACGTCAGGATCAAGATCGATAAACTGCGGTCAATGGGGTGTTGATAGTTCTCAGGACAGGTCAAAATCAAGGCGTTCTGTTTCTATAGATGCTGCGTAGTGTATCGGTATTGCCGTCCTACTCATACTACACAGCCTTGGAGGCGCGCGACTTATTGTCGCGGTGCCGCCTCTCCTTGGCCGCCGATTTGCGGCGCTTCATCCACGACTGGTTCAGGTCTCTCCGATTCTCCCAGAACCACTTTTGGAAATCGCCTCCGGGCCCGCTGCTGCCCTCCGGATCGGCGTTCCGCTCCGCGTTCAACGTCGCCTCAATCTCCTCCCGCGTCTCCTCATCCTCGTCTTCCTCCTCCTCTCCCTCATTGCCAATGGCCCAGAATGGCTTCGTGTGGTTCGGATGCGCCGTATCAGGCGTGGGCGCCGCGCTCCTGACGTTGCGCCACTCGACATCCTGTGCGGTAAATGGCGTCATGGGCATTTGGCTGGATGCTGCGACGTCCTCGTCTTCCTCAATGTCGTCACCTCCGCTGCCGAAGAAGCTAAAGGGTTCGGCTTCTTTGGCGGGGCCGGCAGCTGCGTTGCCGTCTTGCTTTGGACGCTTGTAGAGAGCCTCCAGAGGGTGGACTTGGGCTGGAGTCGATGGTGGTATCTTGATAGTGAGACTGACGTTGGATGCAGCGGATCTGGGCCGCGTTGCGTCGGCAGCTTTAATTGCAGACAACGGACTGTCGACGATGGCGGGCACAGAAACCTTTGTGGTCTCGGCCCTCTCCTCGTCCGAATCAGAGCTGTCGTCATCGGATGATGATGAATCGCTGCTGCTAGTGTCATCATCATCTGCAGCCTGTGCCTTTGGCGTTTGCTTCGCAGGCGTCACCGGTGCCGCCTTGACGCTCTCCGTGGCCTTGACTTTCTCCGTGACATTGACCTGCTCGGCCTCCTCATCTGAGCTCTCGTCCGAAGACGTATCCTCGTCGGACGAGGTGCCGCTGCTACTCGTAGTATCATCGTCCACAGGCGGCGGCGGAGTGGGAGCCTTTGCCTTTTTCAATGGCTTGGAGGACTTGGATTCGGGGGCCGGCGCCGTGGCCGTTCTCCTAGTCTTGGCCGATTCGATCAGGTTCCCTTGGGTATCGACCCATCCTTTCCCTTCGACAAATTCGGTGGTGAGGTTCTCAGTCGGTGCAGGTTTAGCGGCCTTGAGGAAGGTGGGGAACTTTGTCGTCTTCTCAAACTCATGAATGACAACCTCCTTGGCCTTCTTCCTGCGTTTCTTGCGATCAGGTTCGTCCTCGGGGTCGGCAGCCGCCGGGAGTTGCTTCGCAGGCAGCTTCGTCTTCAGCAGACATTCCTCCCTGTCCGTGTACTTTGACCGCTCCTCCCGCTTCTTTGTCTTGTCCTTCTTCTCCTTCTTTTCTCCCTTTTCCTTTTTGCTCTTCTTCTCCCTTATCTTGGCCTCCTCGGGAACGGTCCAACCCCGCTTGACCTTCCGGTCGCGGAGCTCAACGCCCTCGAGGACATTCTCGTCGCGCTTCTGCCTCTTTCTCTCCTCCTTTTCCTTGGATGACTTCTTCCGCTTCTTGCCGGTCTCTTCGCTCTCAGCCACAGGCATGTAGTCCTCAGCGGGGCGGGCCTTATCGATGCGCATCTTGGAGCCCTTCAGCACGGCGCCGTTCAGCCTCTTTTTAATCTTCTCAGCGTCGGCCTCGGGCACGTCGACGAAGCCGAAACGCTTGTCGGGGAAGGTTTCGATTGTATGGAAGGAGATGTTCCGGGCGCTGCGTAGGATCGCAGAAGGAATGACGACTTTCAAGAGGTCCTGGTCGAAAGGAGTAATGTGCAACCTCGTGTAGGCGCTGCTGGTGTCGGAAGGCCCAGCAGGATCAGAAGCAGTCGGGGCAGCACTCGGGGGCATCGTCAGATATTAGCGCGAGGAGGGGCCCGTAAAATAGCAAACTCTTGACGCTGTTCGAGCGTTGTTCGGCGTTGTGGCTGTCAAAAAGAACGAATGGTAGCCACCCAGAGCTTCACAGAAAAAAAAAAAAGTTAACAAGCTCCTTTGCTAGAGGATTTTGCCGATCCTCTCGAAAACCCTTTGCGTTGCGCAGGGATTTCAATTGGTCCAACCAAAGTTCGACCCGGGGCCGTGCTCACCTAGCGGCACTGTGGACTGGCACCGTGGTTGTCCACCCGCCATTGCTTATGTCATCTCACTTTTGTTCATCTCATCTCATTCCCGATTTTATCAATTCCCAGGTTCACTAAGTAACTCATTGAGAATATCACGATGATGCAATCAAGGTTCACTATATACGTGAATAGAATCAAATTCATGTTGCGGATATCATTCATTTTATTTCCAATACTGCGAGTGAGATCTGGATGGGTCCTGCTATGACTTCGCTAGGCGAAGGCCTCACAATGCTGCAGACGGGTAACTCCTTCTGTTCCTTCTTCAGAGGTGGGCATGTTTCCTCGACGAGGAAGCCGTGACGAGGGGCTCTCTCATTTTGCGACAGGTGCTATGGCCTGACGTCTTCCAATTTTTCTTGTGCCTTCATACGTTCCCCTTAGCCACGTATTGGCCACTGCGTAACATCATCCGACAGCAATCCTATAACCCAGTCGCCGGCTACAATTTGATAATCAGTCGATACGTCGTTGTCCTGTCCTCTCAAGACGGACACCTGCCTTTTTTTGCGCCATTTCCTTCCTATCTCTCTATGCTTACCGCGTAAGTTTGCCGCGACTTCTCGACGGCCTCACCCCATTTCCACCATGGATGGACGTTCAGACTTGGAGGATGAAGAGTTCCGCACCGCGCCTTCAACCCGAGAACACAGTTTGTCTATCAATCGCCCCCCGGCTATTACTCAACTGTCTGGTGTCTTCGTTCCCTCGTGTAATAATGGCACTGTCATCTACCCGACTACCACGCAGGCGAACCCTGATCTACGCCGACGTCCGTCTATCGTGCCCCCAGGTCCGCCCACTACCCTAGACTGCAGCCTACTCAGCAATGGAGATCTCGAGACTATCACTTGGTCCCCTCAAGCCAGCTCTGTATTCCGGCGGCCCTCGAGATGCATGAGTATGGACCAGACTAGAGCGCAGGCCCATAGCCACTGCCTACCCGCTGCCGATTCAGGAGCTGCCACCAAAGGGAGTCTATCAGGCATTTTGGGTCAAGGCAAGCATTCATCAGACACTATCTGCAAGCTTGTGCTTATTCCGATTATCATAGGAAACAAGTGTCTTGCCGGGAAGCCGCAGAACCCACCGCTACGGAGTGGGAACGACAGTCATAATCAAGCCGGGGCGGACGGTACTCGCCACCCCCACCACTCCATCAAAACAACGCCGGTGCGTGGTCGATGCGATCTCTCGGGTAGCCACACCTCATTTTGTGTTCGCCACAGCTGGCACTCATCCCAATCTGAGAATCTCTCAGAAACACCGAAACGGTCTGGATATAGCTTATGGGGAAAACCCAATGTCTTGATGCAAGCAATCATGGGAAAGGTCCGGAATCGTCTTGCCGGTCACCGAAGAGTAGGGAGCATCTCTCCAAACAGTCCTGGGGTACCAGAACTGTGCTCCCAAGGCTCATGCCAATACTTAATCAACGATGATCAAGTCCAGGACGTTGTCGAGATCGTCTTCCAAGAGATGTGCAAGCATAACACCGCCATGGATGCTTTCAAGACCACGATACCTCAGCAAGCGGATGATAGCTCCATGCAAACAAGGCTAATCAGAAAGCCGAGCTGTCTGAAAACTGCTATTGAGCTCCAACCTGCACGGGCAGCCGATCCAGCGACTACAATCAGCGAGCCCGAGACGTCATTCTTTACCCGGAGCGCCACCGATGGGCAAGTGCGATCAAAAGGCATAGCTCGGCCTGTACCTATTACAACAATCATTTCCCGAGACAGCATCACCGATATACGGTGGCTCTCTGATATCCATGCAAGCCAGGTTGATCAAGAGTCGATTTCGGATGCATCCGAAGCACCTGCCTCTGCCGTATCCCAGGGCAATTCCTCCTCCATGTTCAACGTTTCCAGCATCATTGAGGGAATCGGTCGAACTGTTGCTTCCGAAGTTGCATTAGAGCCACTTGACTTTCAGGGCTTCTGTCTCGGATCTGAGTCCGTAAGCAAGGTTCATCGTCGGAAGGAAAACGTCGAGGAATCAAGCGTTGATGGCGATGATGGAACTTCCTCAATTACTTCTTTCCCTAGCCTTCCACAACGGCATTGCACGAACGAATGGCTGAGGAGCCCAGCTGATCTTGCCGCTTCGGAAGACAAAGGCAAGATCGAGATGTATCATTTGGGAATCGACGCGAGACTTGGCAGTATCGCACCTGTCACCGAGCAGCTACCCCACATGGATTCTGATAATAGTCTAATTCATGGGATTATTTCGAGCTCACATGATTCTGCGAGCAAAATCAAGCCATCTCGTCGAGCCTCAGAAGCTCTCGCCGACTCGCGCGCTCGCGAAGAAATCATGATACCTGGTGCACTGCCTGAGACTGTGAGGCGGCGCTCCGCCCATTTCGCAGATCCTCTAGTACAAGAGACTCACAAACGAGAGCCGGGGTTCATGCCGCAGATTACTCGAAAGATCAGTTCTGCATTTAAGAGCCCAGCGAGTAGTGGCCGTACAACTCGCGCGCCAGCGCCATCCGAAGTTAACGATGAGGTTAGTAGGAAAGCTGGTGGGGAACTTGGCGCGAGCCGGCCAGCTGCAGGAAATGGTGATCCCGCTGTGGGATGCCTTTCTGAACCTGAGCCCAATGCCGTCTACCAAGCCATGGTATTATCGAAGCCTACAAAAGACAAAAAGAAACGCCGTAGTACCTGTTCTGAAGACTACGTTCCCCATATGTGTGAGGATGACCTGAGCATGTCAGGACTGCCCTCGCCCAATGGTCAGTAAAGCACGGAGGCGACAGCGCGAACACATCGGCCTGTGGAAAGTAGAGGACGTTCAGTAGAAGAGCCAAAACCCTAGAGTCCATAGATCGTAAATCATCAATACACCCACTGTTCCCCTAAGTCAACAACCTCTAAGTGTTTTGAAGTTACCTCAGTGCATGGAAATGCAAGCTGGCTGGATAGCCTGTTCAACTCCTCTGTACAGTGGATACACTATCGGAAAGTAAGTTAGTTCAATAGAGGAAACCGGAAATTCGACACTTTCTTATTGATACCATACGTACGATTCATCCCTCACACACTTGGAATTGCACACATTGAACAGCAGTCGTAAGAGAGCACCCTACTTACTGCTCAACCAAGGCTCACCGATCTCAGCGGCAAAACAACTGCACAATAGTGGCATGAAGCAAAAGCAATGGACACTGTGGGAATTGAACCCACGACCTTTCACAAGTTGCGCATCTGAAGCTCACAAGGAACTCAGATGTAGATGCGAAGCGAAAATCATACCCCTAGACCAAGCGCCCGTTGATAGATGCAAGGATCGCACGGAACAGGAAATATGGATGCATGCAGACCCAGTCTGCCAGTCTACGGGACCAAGTGGAGAGCAGTTTGTGGGGTGGGATGTTGCGATGTGAAAGCGCCGAGTTGCGCACCGGCTAGCGTCGGTGAGTGCGGTGACAAAGACTGTCGTCCATCAGAAAGAAAGGCTTTCTAGAAAACTTCTCAAAAATGTGGCTCTAATGGGCCTAAAACACTTGAAAAGCAAGTGAAGCGATCGTGAGACAAGAAACATTTCTGCAGGCAACAGCTAGGCTTTAATAACTCTCATGTCGTGGAGATCAAGCTTAGATATGTTTTCTGGGGAACTTTGTTGATTGGGCGCACGACGAGAAAGTGTAAAGTTAACTTCAGGTTTCTGAAATCTTAGTTGCCGAACCTAAAGCCTCAGACTTTCCCTCATAGCTACTACATTCAACATCACAACTGAGAAGCCTACTTGCTGGAGACATCTCCAAAGTTCTAGGTGGCGGGTTTCTTCCTGTATTCACAAATACCGCCGTTTGATCCCTTGAGCTTAAGCAGGTTTTCTTTAACGTAAATTTTGGCGCGAATTGCAATGATGTGTCTTAACAATACTAACTCGGGTGTAAGAGACCAAGCATCTAGCCTAACCATCCTAGAGCTGCCGGCAACGCGCCGTTTTCTGTCAAGTTCTGCTGCCCACTGCCCCATATATCTCCCAGTCGCCCATACACGTTTTGAAACTGGTTGAAAAAGTTGCCCCTTGACGGAAAGATCCACTTTGAGGATTTCGGAGAGAAACGCCCGTCATCTAGTCACTAGTCACCGTTGTGTCTGAAGATCCAGACTGGGGTCGAGAATATTTCTGCCCAGTTCCTGCCTAGTAGTGCCAAGACTCAAGATCCCATTCTGGGTTCCGATAGATCTTTTGTGATTGGTCCGAGCTGTTCACCCGCTCATCAACCTTCAGACACCAGACACCGTGACTCGGAGGCTGTGTCAGATGGGTGGAAGTTGGTCTCCTGGGACAGTCCCGTGCCTCTTGTGGCGGCAGAAACATCCTATCAGGGACTGGGTTTCGGGCCCAGATCTTGCGGCTGAGCTGCTTTGCTCACACCTTGGAGCCCCTTTTTTGGAGTTGACTCGCTAGTGCCGTCTGAGATGGCTCGATTTTGGTTGCCTCTGACCCAGCATCGTAACCCCAATTCTGTCTCCAGAGAAAGACGATTCTGAAGTCGAGATGAATGGAAAAACCAGCTGGTCATTGCTCTCCCTGGTTATGCAAAATGCCAAGCTTGAGTTAGGAGCATCCGAGAGCCGTTCTGTCCCGGCCTGTCAGAACGATTGCAACTTCGGAAAGCTCCAGGTTTTTTGTGCTTCAGTTGACACGACTCGGTGGGCAGACTACGTCAAAAGTTCTCGTCGCCGGAACAGGTCAATGTCTGAGAGGCGTCGTATGACTGGATGTTAGACTATGGCGACGGGCCGCTTGGATACGATTGCCTCTTTTGAACAAGCGGCTTCTGCGTTCCATTACTGCTGAGAACTTGTCTTGATTAGTTATCCTGAGTCCACCACCTTTCGGGCCGATTGATAGACTCTCCTCGAGGCCCACGATGCTCTTGAAAAGAATGGCCCGGCGGCAAAACATCAATTCCAAGCAGCCTTCGACAATCACTCCGCTATAGACTCAAACCCAATATGACACTTAATCGCCCAGCCGCTTTACGCTTACTGAAGCGCCTCTGACTCGAGATATACTGGAATCACCCGAATATTTTGACGCTGTTGGCAAGGACCTACCCTTTGATGGCATCAAGAGACGGCTCTAAGGGCACTGTTGTTATCAGACCCTTGAGACATGCCACTTCTTGGCTAATGGTCGGAGCGTTCGGGAAAGCCATCATTTCCCCATAATTAGTACAATTGCTCGACAGTCTCAAATGAAGCTGCGAAAGACAAGTACGGAACACCACTTCCAACCACAATAGCTATGCTCAGCTGCTGAAATGCCATGAACCTTGTAAGCCATCCGAATCCGGGCCGTTCGTGTGGCCCTACAAGTCATCCACATCCTGTGAATCGTGCGGGGAAGGCCGTTTAATAGGGTCAAAACTATGGAAGACAAACATCCGGGGGAAAACACCATCGACATTTCTACGTTGCACACATCGCTGCGACGGCTAAATAACAATCAGAATTCGCGAAGAATGCATAAGTGGCGTTGTCACTGCCATCATCCTCACGCAATTTAGCATGAGAGTACCCGTCTAGGCGCGTGTATAACCCTGCAGACTACTGATCTACAAACCGTTCGCCGACATTAAGCTTTTTCGATACCCGTGCCGGTTGATCTTCCGTGCCACGTATGCCCTCATAGGGCGTAAAACCATTGCCGACCTCCCTTGCCTGATGAGACGGGAAGGATGCCCGATCCAAGCGTACATACAGAGCCTACCCCAATGAGGTAATAAATGGGATGCCCGGAGCAGAGCTGTTTACGCCCACTCAAGCCGGCAGGCCGTTTGGACATATATCAAGTGAGCCCACCCATTTCGACCACCTCTTACTAGATTGACAGCTTGTCAAGTGAGTTAAGCGAGTGCGAATGGGCAGGGCTGAAAGTTCCAAACCGGCAACCGGCAGCTTGGCGGGCACTACACCCCCTCCAAATGCCTGACAGGCGCGGCCGACAATCACGAGCGTAATCGTCGTGGAAGCTTACCGAGGAACCATCCGGTCAGGTTTCTGTCATTTTGGCAGCTAGTTGGCGTTGACATGACTACCCAGTTGACTGGCTAAATGGGCGCTCAGGTGGATTGCGATTGGCGCATCACCAACACAACTCTGTTGGGTGTTTCGACTGATCAACGGCCGGTCCGCGCTGCAAAGCGTTTCAGCTCTGATGCGAAAACCATACTGGCTCCAACGGCTTCCTGGGCTGATCAACGACAAGGTCGTGGATCCCTTTGCAAGATCTACCCATGAGTAAATAAGCTGGGAAAGTCCCGAGAAGTTTGAGTTCATTGGCTCCCCACACAGTTCACTACGCACCCCGTTCATGAGCTTATCGCGATAGTTCTCTGGAAGCCAGACGTAAGGCCAACGCCGGCTTAGTGAGCCTCCTCAACCCTCCACCAAATTGCCAGGGTTGATCCCGTAAGATCGACATGTCATCCCACGCATCAGTAGCAACCTATAACTCGGATGAGTTATAACCCTGCCCACCCCATTGAGTGGCGTTTGGTATGTGAGCGCCCGGGGCCGGTTTGTGCCTACCTCTACAAGGCCGTAAGCGTGTCAAGCCATCCCAAGCAAGTACCATTTTAGGACCCCCATGCGGTCAGGGTGAACCAACAAGAACATCCTCTGCGTCTCATCACCCAAAGAGGAAAGCTGAAGGAGAAAAGTAGTTGTAGACCACACACATTCAACACAGGAAAGCTTTATCGCCCCCCCAGTATGTCCTAGAATGGAAAGTGAAGGGAGAAAACAAGCGCTGAATAGGCCTTGGCGACTTTACCCCAGATGTTGATAAAATCGAACCAACAGCCGCCCACCATTGCCAGTTTTGGTTTGGAAGTCGTTGTCGCCCTCTCCACTATTCAAGCTCATCTCTATCTACCTACGATTTCCAATTCGGTATCCACCACGTCCTCTAGTACTATCCTAATTACTTTTTCTCTTTGAAAATGCTCGGTCTTCAGGTTCTTCTCGTCGCCCTCCAGGCGTGGGCGATCACCGCTGCTCCTCTTCTCGCTGCTCGTCAAGCGGATACCATCACCACCGCTCTCGGCATGGTCCAGACCTCCCTCGAGAAACTCGATACCGCCGTCAAGGGGATCTCCGCGAGTGACCCCAACTCTGTTGCCCCGGTTCTCAACGCCGCCACAGGCTCCCAAGAGGCTCTCACCAAGGCTACGTCCATGATTGACGGCGCCAGCAACCTGGGTCTCTTTGGTGCCCTTGGTCTGCAGCAGACTGCCGACGGCCTCGTTGGACAGGTTCAGACCACTCTCGGCGATCTCTCTCAGAAGAAGCCCGTCTTCGATCAGCTCGGCGTCAGCTCCGTTGTCGCAGATGCTCTTCAGCAACAAAAGACAGGCAGCGGAGCGCTCGGTGACACCCTCCTCCAGAAGGTCCCCGCCATCGCCCGCCCGATTGCCCAACAGAGTACCGGTCAGCTTACCGAGGCTTTGGATAGCGCTATTGCGGTATTCTCTGCATAGACGAATGGGATTAGTACGACAGCCGTGCTGGGTATCGCGGCAGGAAATACGGATTCTGGTGGACAGGCGAATCGTGGAAGGTGATGAAATTGTCACTGTGAAGCGTGGAAGGAAGTCGGGGGCTAGGGAGATGGGGTGAGATGGTGGTAGGGTTGTGAGGGATGATGGATGAGGGAGCAAGGAGGAGGGAGGGGAGAAGAGGTGGAGGGAGGAAGGAGGAAGAAAGCAGCTGGAGACGGCGTGCAATCGAATCGAACAATTTCGTATTCGCCCTCGAGTCCTTCGTGAACGACAGCCCCACCGTAGCGAGTCTCCCGTGATGATACGAGATTGGTAGTGGTATCTCAAGTATTCTTATTTAATTCAAAGTCCGAATTTTCATTTCTCAAATATCGACTACTTTGGATATGATTGTGCTAGTACGTTGGGGGTGTGTTATAGCCCTAGCCGGCTTCACCCGTTCTTGTGTAATGAGGGCACCTGGGTTGTGATGGTCTGCGGGGTCTCATCTTCAGACGGAGGCCATGTTCGCGATGAGCAATTTGCATGATTCAATCTCGGCTTGCTCGTTCAAATGGCATCTGCTAAGCCAGCCAGCACTGGATTTGTCTCAAAATTTATCGAGAACAGCCTCAGGGCGGTTCGTCGCGTAGTGAAAGATATTGGCAGCTATCGGTCATCAACACCCCTTTCTCCACAGCGCCGGTTACCTTGCACTACCTTACCTTTCAACAGAAGATGTTTTGTACACGTAAGCTAATGGGCGTACAAAAAAGCGCAACGAAGAACCTGGCGCGAGATTCTACCAAGTGAAGTTGCAGACAGGCGAAAAAGTGTAAGTCAGCTGCAACGCAGCTGAGACTGAACATTGAACCCAAAGAGGAAAGCCCAATGAGCTCGGGGCCGGGCCGTGTGCGTATCGGCAGGGTTCTCCCCGTCCACCATCAGCCCTGTGGTCGTGCTATCAAAGGAGTGAAGCTTATAGCTTTCTCCAATCATTGTCTTTCAACCGAGCTTATGAAGAAAAGCTGCATGAATAATTCAGGGATGACCCCACAGTCAAGGCTGATTTTGCGTCGCATGTTTCATGCGTTCGAAAGCTTCTTGTTGCATCTATCCAACTGTCAGGGTATTCTTGCCGTTTCAAAGAGCTAGGCGTCGCCAATTGTGGCTGTGGTTTCTTCTTCATGCAGCCCATGCATGAATAGTTGCATACTTTGACAGCTGACTGACGGGAAATGATCGCGAAGTTTGACCAGGCTCTTGGATTTTCTTTGGCACTGATCATCTGGTTTCTAAGAACAATAAAGATTTCCAGTTCCAAAACTTTCCGTACAGCCGACGTTTGTTTACGGAACACTATAGGTAAGCACAGACAAAGAAGCAGTCAAGTCTAAAAGGATTAGGAACGAAACTATGCCATGGAACTTTCGTTCGAATATTTCTATCCATAATTCCGCGACAGCATAGACGTGGGACCTCCGAGAAGCCTGCATTATTATATCGTACTCCCTATGGCACCATTTGCGGAGTTGGTCAGAAGATGAAAATCTGGATGCCCATGAACCGGGGGAGGTTCGATTTGGGGCAGAAAATTTTGAGATCGGTAACTAGCCATCTTCTCCAACGCTTCCATAGATAGAGGGAGTTAAAAAACTAAATATAAGGCGCTGTATCAAAGGATATAACTCATATTGGGGGTAAGAACATGTTCATAAACGTTAGATCTGCCCACAAAGTCAATGCTGGATATTTATTTAATGTTGCAAGCCGGATCTCAACGCTTCTTATCCTTAATTGGCTTACGAGTATGTATTTTAGTTCACATCGGCTCGTTCAACGCCTGGAACCGAGTTTTATGCTTTAGAAAAGCTCTTGAAGAAGTCTCGCGTCGAAGTGAGTACTTTTCACTCGGGTTTGACCTTTGGCATACGATGGTCCATCTCCTACATAATTCCTACCCACTGAATAATCCAGGATTGCTGTGGCTGCGGAGTGACCGATGCAGCTGCGATGACTACATGTATATGCCAATGAGCTCTTATGGTCAACGTCTTGCGTGACCTGCATTGAATTAGCGGTGCAAGGATCGATAGCTTGTCATTCTGTGTAATTTGGTATCCAATGCCGGCTCTGGACCCAGAAAGTAGCCTAAGCCGCCCATGCCAGCTTTCCACATGTGCCTGTCGTTACGTGGAGTGCTCATTCAATACAGGAGCGTCGTTCCCTAAACTGTTTTGGGAACTTAGCATTATTAGTGTATGAAGCATGATGTGAATGCAATCTTCGCACTCCCTAGAGAGCGAGACGATTTTGCAGATGCCTCCAGTCACGTAACTCTATTTTAGGGAACAACGAGAACAACATCTTCAGAGGGGCCCGACTGTAAGATTTCCAGAGAGGCAGATCGCATATCACTATAGACTGCGTAGGGGAATCCCATCATATGGTATGACTGACTCGTAGTCCTTGATGAAGTCGTAAGCTGTACGGAGTCCAGGATTGAGATTGGCAAGTGCCGGCTTAGCAAGACGATCATGACACTGACAGGGGGGGCATGAAAGCGATAGCGCCCCCGAATACGTAAACTAAAAGCTTGTCAAGCTATCGAAATGCAAGGGTATTACGTTCCACGTATAACGAAGTGTACTTGTTGTGGGGAAACATGGCGTTATCCGACACACTCGTGTGTGAGCGTCTTCTGTGCGGCGCGATTAACGTACCTTAGTAGCAGTCAACGCTGCGTGATTAGTCGACCTTTCGAACAGTAAGATGCGGGCGATTATTGATGTTTGCAATTCATATGAATTTTGAATCATGACCTTCATGTCGTGATGGGCCGGGAGTGGAGCTTGGTGCCGATATCCCGGATGAACGTTGCCAGTGGTAAGCTTTGTATTCCGTTTAAGAAAAATAGCACTCTTTATTTTCTCAGGATCGCATTGTTTGAGGGATCACCATACTGGTGATCGTGACAATGGTTGGTTCAAAGTCATATTATCTGCTATTTAACCACGTCACACAAGTCCAAGTTTGATTCCCAGAGCAACCTTGTTTGGGGACGAGGCCATACATCTCTATGCTTTGGCCAAATGTTGTCAGCACTTACCATTTAAGCATGTTTGGCACAGGGGCTAGTGTAGTGTAGACTCCCGACTCATGCGAGATCTGGGCGTAGATCACCTCATTCTCGCATGGCCCAGGCCGCCACTGCTCTGGCTCCAGCGGCACGCTGACATGAACGGGGCTGTGAGGTTTCTTATTGCCTCCCACACCAGGATGCAACCAAAATTTGCTTGCCATTCGCAAGCTGTTGAGCCGGAACCAAATACCTTCCGTTATGCCAATGATGACCAATGGAAAGATCCCGGTCGAGTTGCCCTCTTGGTTGGTTCCTTGGGTGTTTGGTGGGTACTTCTGTTCCGTTGTCCCCACCGATACTGGACTCTCCGTCCTGATCGGGCAAGCGGCCGGATTGGATGCCAGCTCCGTGGGGGCGCAAGACTTGACTCGTCCGTCAATGGCTTGGAACGACTTTATCCCGCACATACTAAGTATGTACTATACTGCAGTCTGTAAGGCACGCCATACCGCCGTTTACCCGTAGATCTCCCTGCCGTTTAACTTATGAGGGCACTAATCTGGAAAAATGCTCCTGGATCGTCTCATCTGTCAAGGGGACCTCCCGCTGCTTTCGTCATGAAGCGCGCGGTAGACTTCTCGAGTCCTCTTCTAGAACATGGATGCGTAGTGTAGAATTATTCGCGCCAGGGCCTACGTCTTAGGAGGCATCACGAGATGGTCGTACAGGCCTTCGGGCTTGTGGTAAATTGGAAGAAAAGGGGTGGCATCGTGCTCGCTTGCTCTTCATATAAGAAGGAGGAAAGACGTCCGAGGTTTTCCTTTAGCTCACAAGCGGCTCCAGTCATCATCCGATCTATACACCTTCCTTCTTTCGTCTGATCAATCCAAGTCTGTCACTATGGTTCGCTCATTGTTGGCCCTTGCCCTGCTGGGCACCCAAGCCTTGGTCAACGCCGCCACTGAGGTTGAAACCCGCACCATTGATGAGATCTACAAAGCTGCCCTCGCCGAGGGCGGTGTCGTCACTCTCTGGCACGGCGGTGATGAGCTGACGCAGCAAAACTTCTTGAAGGCCAACTTTGAGAAAAAGTTCCCCGGCATCACCCTGAACGTCACCGTCGATCTCTCCAAGTACCACGACGGTAAACTGGACGACCAGCTCGCCGCCAAGAACGTCTTCGTGGACAGCATCATTCTCCAGACCCTCCACGACTACCCGCGCTGGGCGTCTGAGGGTGCACTTCTGGACTACGCTCCTCTCGGATACGACCAGATTCTCCCCGAGTTCAAGAACAACGAGACCGCTGCCTACTACGGCATCTACATCATTGCGTGGGCTGGTCAGTGGCACTCTGGAAAGCTCCCGGGTATCAAGGCCCCTGTTGAGTGGGAGGACTGGGTCAACCCTGACCTCAAGGACAAGCTCGTCCTGACCTACCCCAACGACGACGATGCCGTCCTCTTTGCTTTCAACCTCATGTAAGTTACACATTGATCTCCACAAACATGCAATCCCTAACAACAAAACACAGTCTCAAGCAGTACGGCACCGCCTGGTTTGACAAGCTCGTCGCCCTGAACCCCCGCTGGGTCCGCGGCACCCAGACCCCTTCCACCATCCTCCAAAAGAACGGCACCCAGTGGGCCGCCAGCTTCACCTCCTCCGCCAGCCTGAACCCCACGGCGCCCATCAACGTCTCCCACCCCGTCGAGGGCCGGTTCGTCTCCTGGCCCCAGACCGGCGGCATCCCCAAGGACGCCCCCCACCCCGAGGGCGCCAAGCTCCTGCACGCCTACCTGCTCAGCCCCGAGTACCAGACCGCCCGCGGAGGCTGGAGCGTTCGCGGCGACGTCGCTCCCCCCGCCAACTACCCTGCCATCCTCGACATGCCCGGCACCGACGCTACCGCTTTTGGAAAGTGGATGTCTGACCGCGCGGCTGTTGAGAGACTCCGCTTCTGGTTCGAGGACCGCCTTGGTACTGCCCAGGGTCTCAGCCCTCTGATTGATGACTTGTAAATGAAAATTGCATGTGGCTGTGATGGCATAGACGATCCCTTGAACTTCTTGTAGATACTAGCCTTATTCAAGTTATAGAAGAAAGTACATATGTTTTGGGTAAACAAGTCAACTTCAAGCAATCAAATTTGTTTACTATTATGGATTCTGTGATTGTGCGAACATCAATTTCCATCAACATTTGTAGACCAATGAACTGTCATCACTTGAATTCCACGCATAACCATCCTGCTTCATCCAACCACAGAAAGTCGGCATAGCAGCCATTGACAACAACACCAAAGCCCCAGTCTGGAATCCGCGCATAGCCGGCCGCATTAACCGATCTGTCAGGGGCGGACTGGGCAAGCGACCCAACAGGAGTTGCCGTTAGCCGACTTTCAGCAGGCGGCAAAAGCCCAGAAGTCCAGGCGATCCATGCAAAACTTAACGTGCGAATAAACTTTTACGGTCTGTGGGGCAAGGAGCTTGTTTGGTTTAGAGTGAAAATGGTGGGAAAGGAGGATTGATTGGGCGGGTTCGCTGATGACGTTGCAGCTTCATTAAATGCCACCCATAAAAAGTCACGCGTAGTCTGCGTTCCCCTCCTTTGGTTGGATTTTTCGCTTATTAATTAATTTCAGTCTCTTCTTTCGTCTTTGGACAGTGGAGTATTCTTCAATGAAGAGTGTGTCAGTGTGTGGCTGTGTGGCTGTGGGCAAGCGAAGAGTTGGTTGCAACAGGGGTCCTGCGATCTAAGCTCTCTGGAGCAGATTGCTTTCGGCATTGCCATTGAGAAGCAGGGCAATCCTGGCAAAATTTCCCATTTGCTGCCCGCTGATTGAAATCACACCATCTGCAAATCCTTTAAAGTTGCTTTAACGTTGGCCAGTACTCTGAATAGTAAGACATTGAGAAGCTTTTCTTACCTACTTCTTCAAAGGTTGCATTATGGCGATTGACTTAAGCCACCTCGGCGTGGTGGCAGATGTTTTGTCTACCTTATATCCACATTGCTTTCCTTGTTGGCTAGAGTCCGTGGGTAATCGAGCATAGCTTGGTCGACAGGCTCGGTGGCGCATTCATGATGAGCCCAAGGGATTCATATCACGTTGATGATGCACTGTCATACAAAAATTCGTCGGACAGTTTCCTATCTCTTGGTGGCCAGAGGATCCTTGACTAGCCCGAATACCCAACTCGCAGCAACTTTGAAGGCCATAGTCGAACTCAAGTCTTCTTGGTGTCAATCAATGGCAGGTTTTTCAGGCTATTTTAATATTGATATGATATTTAAGGTTTCTGTTCTGCATGGAATATATCGAGTGACGAGAATCGCGTGTAGCATTCGAATTACAGGCTAAGTATGCATTAAATACAGGCTAATCAAAGCTGGCATGTTCGGATTTGCTCTTGCTCTCGAGATGACTTCGAGTCACAAGAAATGGATCAATACCAGGCTCAGATCTTTAACCTGGACTGAAATTTGCCAGTGAATCTTTACTCAGATGCATGTTATGTCCTATAGACCACATGATCCATGATTAGCTCTCTTATCAGCTGCAAATTAGTTTCAAGCCTTAAAGGGCACCCAGCGGTGCCTTCACAAGGCTCAGAATATGGCTATGGGTCTTTTCAAATATCTTCGTAGTTAAAAGCATCAATCAACAACATTTTGACGTGTACAACCTGTTTTTGAAGGGGTTTCACTCTGGAAAGCTCGACAACATCATTCAATAATTATCGCGTCGTCGGACGGTCCCGTAATATACGTGAAAACCATAGAAGCGAGAAACATCAATTCGATCAAAGTCATTCTCTTGCACTCCCCGAAAACTTCAATCGCCGTTAAAGAAATTACTTCAGCTCACCATCACACCATGGCTACCGGGGATATCATCATCAGGAGAGGCATTGAAGCCGAACTCGTTCCAACTATGTCAGCTATACCTACGACCAAGACAGTTAATGCTAAAATCAGAGCTAACGTTGCCAGAGTCTAAAAGAATCATTGATTCGGTCTTTAACATAGCCTTTGCTGCTCAAAAGAAGTCAGTCTTGTGACGAATGTTTGTGCACATCTAAAACTATTGCCATCACTGATCAGATAGCTTGGCTCGGTCAGACGAATTTTAATAGATTCATTCAGCCTAAAAGCCACGTAAAAGTGTTGATTGAAAACTGAACTTCCAAGTTAAGAAATGAACGCAGTGCGAGGCCAAGATCATCTACGCGAGAGTATACCTCACACATCGGCAATAGAATAACTCTGAGAGTTCCGCTCTGCAGACAATCCACAGTTTTAAGTTAGTCAAATGATCTAAAAACAACACCAGACGAGTGGAATATATGTGGAAACTGCAAAAGAAAATACATGTAAGTTGGAGGAAGAAAAGTTGCGTGCTGGTCATACGTCATGCACGAGAATGGGGCTGGACTGATCGCGAGTAAAGACAAGAATTCGATTAGACACAGAAGGACTACTGTCAATTCTATCTATATTTCCTAAGCATCTCCGAATATCTTATTGCCGGGCCTAAACATCTATGGCCAATTCACGGACTCGCGTCATGTAACCTCAGATTGAAATGTTGACCTGCAATTCATTTGAACTGATTCTACCATTCTGAAGTGTAGGATGGAGGCTGATGTATACTGCTTCATTTGGGATTTTTTGACTGTAAGAGATATGATTTGCTAACTTGATCATGGAAATGTGCATCCTGTCTTGCTGGAGGACACTGAGTTGAATTCTGTTTTATTTTCAAACGTTGATTTTGAGGAATCTTGTGAAATTATGCTGAGGCGGTGTTGCAAGACTATATGCGCCTTTCACGGACGGAAATCATTTGGCCATCATCATCTTCATCAGATAAATCAGCTTTCAAGTGTAGCAAAAGCAGTCGTTGATGGTATGATGTCTAACTGACGAATTTGAACATTCGGCCATCTAGTCAGCGGCTTGCTGGAAAGGGGGATGCTTGGGACTTGGCGGTGATTTGTAATGCACGAGATGTTGCTCCTTCAAGGTGATAGAAAAGACTAGGATATTAAATGCTCTGACAGATTCAACGGAGACTGCAATCTGAAGATTATTCACCCGGTCTTGATCACCATTTTGAATCTTGGATCTACCGCGGTAGGGAGAAGTCTCGAAAATTCGTGGTGCCGCATCATCGGAATAGTTCACTTGGAGCATAGATTATGCGATTGTGAAACTAGACTTCCACATCTATCTCCGTCTCATGCAATGTATTTATGTGGAGCCCATAGCAAGTGCTTCAGCAGGCATCTCATCGCAGGGAGTATGCGGGGTTTATCACTGCTGTGTACGGAGCATTGTCTACTTGCTCGTATCTGAGAGAAGAAAAGGGGTTATCTGGGCAGTATGGCAGTTGACTTCCTAATTGGGCGCTGGGGGTTTATGTATTGAGCAGAATGTTCGAATAAGTTGCTACGCTAATTGTCTGGTTGCAGGCCCTTTGTCAGTCAAAAGAAGAATAGGGAGAATTCTCAATATCTCGAATGCACGATTAGTACGGATAACCATGCATTTGAATGGATAGGCGCGTTGAGCAACTTCTATCTTGAATGCTCCATCAGTTCATCAGGAAGCGGTGGAGAAACTGGATGAGGCATTGTGTCTCTTTCAGAAGCAACACTTTCCCGACCCCACGGTATGTACGAGATTCTTTTGCTCCCAGGGATTACCAAGACGTCGAGCTTTGCACTGTATTACGAATCCATGGACGCCAAGAGTGCAGTCACACGACAATGCTTTGAGCTTGGGCAATTGTTTACGATCCTCAGGGGGCGCAGACTAAGTAGTAGACAGGCCCCAAGCACCCCTTAGCCGAAAGGTGCCTATAGAATTCTGTCGTGTAATTCTAGGTTTTGATATCCTCGAGTAGTGAAGATGCGCTGTATACAGGGGTTGCGTTGGTGGCTCAATACCGTGCACGTTTGCGCAGCCTCTCATCCATCCCACGTGCGTTCTGTTCCGTGCCCGATCTCGGAACTACTTGACCGCTCTGCCCAGAAGGAAATCCCGCGCAAGTCGAATTGGGAGATTCCGCAGAGCAGTAGCATCCCGTATGTGCTCATCGTGAACAATGATTTGAGCCAATCGGGCGCGGCGGACGTGGGATTGCGGCTCTGAAGAATGAATACCAGATTAGGCCTTGGCAATCTTGGCGATGCGACACCAATCTATAGAAAAATAGCGCGTTCAGCGTCTTGTGACGGGGATTATACATTTGGAGTTACAATTAACATAGCCTCAACAGCTCTCAAGAAATGTGACAGGGCAAATTCATTTTTCCGTTCTGTAGAGTGCATGTGCTAAGAGAAATCAATGGTCAATCGCAGTTCTTAGGCACACTGGTTGAGTTCATAGTGCACGTATCCCGCTTGAGCAAGTCTCCGATGCAAGGGAAAAACTCTGTTAGAATTTCAGACAGGTTGATTAAGACTGATGTTATTCAGCGTGGAAACACATTGCTCAATCTTGACTTAATGCTGAGCAGCGATATCGCCATCAGGGGTTGCGAAAATTATATTTCTTGGCTGTTTCTTGGCTTTAATTTGGAAAGAGAACATTAACGGTTCCAAGAGATGCCCAGGCGGGAGGCTCAATATTTTCAAGGCTAAGCGCCCCGCCAAGAGCGGTGGCCGAGACCTTAGGGCGACAATTGCAAGCCATCTCACACGCCAAGGGCCAAAGAGCCTCAGCGGGTTTTTTTTTTTTTTTTTTTTTTTTTTTAGAATTTCGGGAAGCATTCAGGCCCTGGACAAAGTTTCCCCCTCCCCCTGGGACGCCAACCTCCCGCTCCCCCCCTTCGCTCCTTGCGCCGCCTCCCCGTGCGTGTGTTTTTTTTTTTCTTTTTTTTTTTTTTTAGAATTTCGGGAAGCATTCAGGCACAGGACAAAGTTTCGACCTGCGCCTAGGAGCTCAACGTCCTCTGTCCTCTACTTTACTCTCAACTTTCTGCATTGCCAAGACTCAACGACTAGATGGCCGCCGGAAAAATAGCAAAATGAGCAAAAGAAGAGAGGAAATTGCTTGGCAGTGTTGGGGGCGTCCCTTATCCTGTTCATGAGTGTTTTTTCCCCCTAGTCCCTATGCTTAGGTTTCACGACCAGGGGAGGATGAATGAATACGCCAACGGGGCTCGTCATTCTATCGGATTTACGGCGGCGTTTGAAATGCACAGACACGGTTGACATCATACACCGAGTCAAGCAACTTTGCCTCCGTCTGCTTGATCCGCCATCCAACACGCCCACAACAGAAGATTTTAGTTGACGGGTGAGCGTATTGCCGCCGATGAGTGAGCACGCTTACATAACGAGGCACGACCGTCCCCCCGGAAGAGTCCATTGCCCTCAACAGACCTGGGGATCCTCGCCTCTGCATATGCAGCCTATGATATTGGCATTCGGCCCGTCGGATGGCTTGGCCCCCTCGGGGGTTATTAGCTTACCCAGAGCCGCAATCGGAACTTCCAGAAGCAGGGTCCGCCCCTCGGTCCTTGCTGGGAGGTGGTGATGCGAAATGTGTAGCTAATGCAAATGTGTGAATCAGGGAAGTCGAATTCCTGGACAAAGCAGAGACGAGAGAGGAGAGGGAGCGGGCCCCGTGGGGGGTGGGGGGCATCCGTCCGAGATATACAATGCTGCTTATTCGCTGTCCCCGGCCGCGTTCGTCTCCACGGGGAAAAACACAACCCCGGGCTGGAGTGTCACGCACCCCATATTCGGCGGACTTGGAGACGGATGTGACGGAGAACCAGCCAGATACTGCAGAATACTGCGAAGTACAGAGTACCGAGGAGAGATTTTGACGTACGCATCCTCTCAGATGACAGATTGACTCCAGTTGTCAGCTGCAAGCCCCAGATTGTTTCCCCCAGAGTATGGGTCTGTGAGGGAGATACGGACTATGGGGGTGTATGGGGAGGCTCCGCTTCAAAGGACATACTTATGGATCACGACCGCAGTTAGGGTCTCAAATTTTCTTGTCTCTTCTCCCTTCATCCTCGAGAACACCCTTTCTCGAAGAACACACACTTCGACAACTCATCTTACGACTCTCAGTCACCATGGGTCTTCTCACCATTGTCGAAGAGAGGCCGACGCCGCCCTCGGTCTACAACTGGCGCATCTACGTGCTCGCCGGCATCGCGTCGTGTGGGTCCTGCATGATTGGCTACACGAGCGCCTTCATTGGTACGACAATCGGTCTCGACTCTTTCAAGGCTGAGTTCGGCCTCACCAAGAAGTCAGCGGCCGATAGGAACTTGATCAGCGAGAACATTGTCTCTCTTTTCGTCGCCGGTGCCTTCTTCGGTGCCCTCCTCACCTACTGCCTCAGCCATTTCATCGGCCGCAAGCGTTGCTTGGCCATCGGAGCGACCGTCTTTTCCCTGGGAGCTGCCTTGACTTGTGGCGCCGACGGCAACCTTGGCCTGGGAATTCTCTACGCTGGACGTGTCTTTTCGGGTCTGGGCACTGGAATTGCATCTGTTAGTTCTCACTCTTCCCCTGAGCAGTGACTCATCTCGTTTATCCACCGGTTCTCCACATGATGGGCAGCAACGAGTATCCCTGACGTAACAAATGCTAACAAACGAATCTTGTAGAATATCATCCCCGTTTACATCTCGGAACTCTCACCGCCAGCTATTCGTGGCCGCCTGGTCGGTCTCTACGAACTTGGCTGGCAGATTGGTGGTTTGGTTGGCTTCTGGATCAACGTACGTCCCGATATAGTGCTTGACCTCTCAATGTCTGCATCAATAGTCGCTAACATGCTGCGTAGTACGGCGTTGAGTCAAGCATCCCGTCAGGCCGCAAGCAATGGTTGATCCCATTCGCAGTCCAGTTGATCCCGTCCGGTCTCCTTCTGATCGGTTCCTTGTGGATCCGTGAGTCGCCGCGATGGCTCTTTCTTCACGATAAACGCAAGGAGGCCATGGACAACTTGTGCTGGATCAGACAACTGGAGCCCAACGACATGTACATCACGGAAGAAATTGCCGGCATCGACAAGATCTACGAGTCCACCAAGGCCACCGTCGGATTCGGGTTCTGGCAGCCTTTCAAGGCACTTGGTGCCCGGCCCTACCTGCAATGGCGTCTGTTCTTGGGCTGCATGCTCTTCTTCTGGCAGAACGGCTCTGGTATCAACGCCATCAACTACTATTCCCCGACCATTTTCAGAAGCATCGGCGTCGAGAACAACACTGTTAACCTAATGACTGGTATCTTTGGCGTTGTCAAGGCCGTCATGACCTTTGTCTGGCTGCTCTTCCTCGTCGATCAGCTCGGAAGAAGAAAGCTTCTCCTCCTCGGTGCCGTCACTGGTTCCCTCTGCATGTGGGTTATCGGAGGCTACATCTGCATCGTTGAGCCGACCAAGCACCCTCAAGACCACTTGACCGGCAGTGGCATCGCGGCTATTTTCTTCTTCTACCTCTGGACCGCCGTCTACACTCCCACCTGGAACGGTACCCCTTGGGTTATCAACTCGGTATGTTTCTCCGTTCCATGGCTATATTTGATCAAGCTAACACTATTTTAGGAATTCTTCGACCCCAACTTCCGTTCCTTGGCAAGTGGTGCAACTACTGCTAGCAACTGGCTATTCAACTTCCTCGTCTCTCGTTTCACGGAGCAGATGTTTGAAGCCATGGGCTATGGAGTGTACTTCTTCTTCGCTTCCCTGTCATTCCTCGCCTTCTTCTTCGCCTTCTTCCTCATCCCCGAGACGAGTGGTGTTCCTCTGGAGAAGATCGATAGGCTGTTCGAGATCAAGCCCGTCTGGAGAGCCAACGCGACGTTGATGGCCCAGCTGAGGGAAGAGGAGACACAGTTCCGCACGGACATCAAGGACGAGGTTGTTCACAAGGAGCAGGGCACGTCGTCGGAGTCGGACTCCCCATAGAAAGGGCTGCGCAGGCAAACGCAGATTATACATGACATGATCACGAACTGTACATAGATAGAGACAGAACGGCTTTTTTTTTATTCATCGCGAGGCGGCATCTGTTTGCGAATACCCGGCATCGAGCGATCCTCAATAAAGAAAATTGAAGAGCTCAAAACTAGAATCCTAATTGCTGGTGGACTTGATCTTCATAACTTCAAGTGTCCTGAGGCCTGTGTCTGCCAGTTTGCTCTTCTCTTCTGTCTCGCTAGACTTGCACCGGTGTTTGAAAACAGGTAGTGGAACACGTGTAGAAACACAAAAACAAGCTAACATGAGGAAACCGTGGGTTGGGGGCAAGTTTGCAACTGCTTTTCAGCGCACTTCGGTGACACTTCCTTCCCAGATGCCGAGACTGCCGACGCTCTCCGCGAGCTAGCTGCAATATACAGAGGCGCCACCGACTTGGTGGAGTCGAATGCAAGTTGCAGATACTATCGTGGCAATCCTGGTGGCAATGACTACATGTATGTAGCAACGGTGCCTTCCCACCCACTTGCCGGAGACCGGGTAAAACTTACTCAGTCAGCCATCGGATTTTGAGCTGAAAAACAACAGCTTATATCCGAGGTCGCGCCATAGGCTGCCTTACCAGTTTGAATTTGTTTTGGATCCAACCGGACAGTAGCACGTGGCTAGGCAGTCGTTGACCAAGGTTATCTAGGAAAGTGATCAATGCCAAAGCATGCCTTAGGGACCAGGAACTACCATAAAGCGGCTGCAGAACAAGGCTTGGTATTGGTTTTCATTTCCGGCTTGAATGAACTTCTCCTAGCAGTCCTGTGCAGCGCTTCATCGTCAACGTCTATGTGTTTGAATATCCGATGCCTCATGAAACCAACCGCCTATGCGCCAATGAGACCAACACATGTCTGGACAAATGCGTGATCAAGAATATCGCCGGTTGATTTCAAGATATCATTGACAATCTGGGTTTTCACTGGTAACTGTAACGTACCAGGGCGATACCCTGTCTCTTGTTGCCAAGCTTTGCCAAGATTGTATTTGCAAATTGCAAACGTTACTCAGGATTAAAACAAGCAGGGAAAATCCGATCTACCCCTCGGTCGACACTGCACTCTTCAAGTGACACGGTTAGGAGGTGCTGCTACTGCTCTTGTTGTTGCCAACCTGGCACGTTCAGTGACGCAGGTAACGACACTTTTTTCTCCTCCTCGCGGGCCTTGCCGGAAGAGGCAGTTATCCTCTATTTGTCTTCCAAGCAAGAAGCAATTTCCGGCGCTCTAGTAGACCTTGGTACGATTGTGTTTAGACTGATGACGATTTTGCTCAGTGGCTACACCCGTCAAATCAAGATTACCTGCGTGGCAACTTCCTTGCTTGGGCCATGTTGCCTCAGCTCCTCAATTTCCGCAAAGTCAGGTGCCCTACTTTCGAGACTACTTTCGAGACTAACCTTTCGACATTTTCGATGTCAGGACACAGGTTTCTCGGAATATCCAATTCTTTATTTGCGCTAGCCCTTTGGTCTCTATGCCCAGATAACAGTGACACACTCCTGGAGGACAATGGGAACTTTTCCGGCGGACGCTTCGAGAAGAGAGACTATTTCAGCCACGCTCTATCTTATGGAAATTATCGTTTTCCCCAGCATATAAGCCATCGGACCAATCATATATCTCACTGCCTGCGCTATCTGATGTGCAGTTGCAAGAAACGTTGGCCTGGGGTTGTGCTACGACATCGCTCTCGTGTATCCCAACGTGAAGCCATATGTCCAATAGAAGAGCGAATTGCATGAAACTTTTGCGTCACTTGAGGGATTGCCGCGGTATCTCATTAAAAAAGCTCCCGTTTCATGGTGCTTTAGTCTCCAAATAACATTGGTTTGTTTCTGCCGGCCGTTGTCACACAGGAAACTTGACAGATATCTCGTCATGAAAAAGAGCATCCATGTAGCTCTGCTGGTTTCAAGCCAAAGTCAAAGCGTTCTTACTTCCATTTATCTCCGGCAAGCATGTCAAAATCCATGACCGAGGAACCAATTTCGACATTAGCTCATCGGCCTTGTTTGTGATCCTACACTTTTCCCCATCATAAAGACAAAGTGCGGGATAGCAGGCGGGGAAACAGGGATTGACCCTCGGAGCCCGTTTGATCTTCGCCAGCCAGATCAACCATCAATCTGATCATAATGGTTGATGCAACTGTACACAATCTCTCGCATACTGGTCAAAAAATCGAGATCACCTCAACTCAAAGGCATGCGAGACAGGGACGCAACAATCAAGCTAGCCGAAGCCCTCATCACCCAATTTATTCTCGAAGAGAAGGTTATCATGGTCACAGGCAACTCCTTCGCGGGCAACTGCATCGGCGTGATTGCCGCCGTCCCCCATCTCGGCTTCAAAGGCATCTGCATGCTCGACGGGCCCAGCGCTGTCAATCGCGCCGACTTGGTCAGCGTCTTCCCCTCAGGCATCACCGCCGCAGCCACGTGGGACCGCGAGATGATTTAACGTCGAGGCTTCGCTCTCGCTGAGGAGCTTAAGGGCAAGGGCGGCCACGGGGTTCCCGTGTACGTCGCCACTCTCCCACCATGAAACCACAGTACAGTAGTAATACAGGTCTCGATAGTCCCTCGATAGGCCCAATGAGCCGTACTACATTAAGCGGTCGGAACTGATAAGGCTCCGGTTCGGACCCGTACCTATCAGGCGTCACCATTGAGAAGACAGTCACAGGCATACAAGACCCCAGAATACAGACCTGTTCGAACCACTTGATCGCCAACGAACAAGAGACACGACGCTCCAACACGGTCTCGTCCAACGGCACCGCCATCAAGGCAATCTCCACCAACGATGACAACAGGGCCGTCCAGGAGCTCTACCTCTGGCCCTTTGCAAACACTATCAAGGCCGAGACGACGACAATCATGTGCTCCTACAACCGCTTCAATTAGACTTACTTATGCGGGAACAGCCATTTGATCTCTTGAAAGAACTTTTACGAGACGAACTCGGCTTCGAGGATTCACCGTATTGGACTGGTTCGCGACGCACTCTGCGGCAGACCCCATCAACGCCAGCCTCGACCTCGAAATGCCGGATATCATACCCAGTGACTACCCCGGAAGCATAATCTTCTTCAGCGACAAAGTCTTTGAAGCCGTTGCCAACGGCACGGTCTCCGAGTCCCGCAGTGACGATATGACTCGCAGCTTTCTGACGTCGTACTACCCCTTGAACCAAGACGCAGAGTCCTAACCGTCCCCAGACCCGTCCCTCCGCCTTTCCTGCTCCGAGAAATTGGCTTCGAGGTCGTAAAGGAAGGCGGCTCCATCCCCGATGACTTTGTCTTCACCCACGGCTGCGACCGCGGCGTGTATCTGCCCCCTGCCCCCCCGGAAACCTGCCACGTGTTCCAGCCGACCTTGGCCATCGAGGGCTTCGACCGCACATCCTTTGCACTCGCCGGAAATTTAACAACCGTGATTGGCAACATGGCTGACTTTTGCGGCACCACGGTCGTGATGATGCACACGGGCGGCGTGAACACCATACCCTGGGCAAATCATACAAAGATTGGTGCGACCCTGGCGGCGCATTACCCGGGCCAAGAGAGCGGTCACTCGCTTGCATGGCAGTCTGATTTCACAGAGGAGTACAGCTGATTGACTACCGCCACTATGACGCGCTTGAGATCGAGCCGTTGTATGAGTTTGTTTTTTTTGTTGACGTACATGATCTTTGCTTTCGTTGGATGACCAGATCAGCGTAGTCTCCGTCACAGACGACTCGTGCATTGCCGCTCGCCCGGAAGTATCGATCTTAGTGCAACCTGGGGGCCATCCACAGCTATGGGACCACAAGTATGGGATGACTTCATCAACCTGAAGGCGTCTATTTCGAACAGGGATACCAGAGCTGCCTTTGCTGTGCCGCAGCTCTACCTTTCCTTCCCGGGCAGGGCACCCGAGGGAACGCCGAAGAAGGTGCTGAAAGGCTCTAAAATGGGGCAGATCGATGCGGGCAGCTCGGCTGAGATGGAGGTCGGGCTGATGCGGCGGGAGCTCAGTTCGTGGGACGCGTCGGACAAGGTTCGGACCATTCCCAAGGGCGAGTTTACATTCAGGGTCGGCTCCAGACTGGAGGACTTGCCGGCGGAAAAGGTATCTTCGGTGTTGAGGGGACGATTGAGAACAGCGCGGTGATGTTGAACCATGGCCGTTGAAATGAGCCTTGCTTGATCAAAGACCACGTTTACACAGTTATTGTTTCACAGATGGATCTTGTTGACAAACTTTCAACACTGTTCAGTGATCAGTCTTTTGCGGACGGATGGTGTTCATATGCAAATGCCAGAACTATTCAAGTTGTGTGATTGGACCATGAATTTGATTCCCGTGTGACGTACCTATCTACACTGTTCACCTGCACTCTTCATAAGATTATCTTTTCATCATTACCTCAGTGACAGCTAGCCCTGAAGAAACTTGCCATGGGCGATACAAACCGCAAAAGGTGACGTCGATCCACCACATCACGTGCCCTGGGCCCAGGCCCAATGTTGACACCAAAGTCAAGCTCAACAGAAGCTCTATTTTTGTTAGCCGCTCTGAACATCGAGTCCGACTTCTCTTGTTCACAGGGGAGGTGGACGGGCGGTATGAGGATGGGTTGCACAATGTTGATTGCAGTCGCAAATAGCCTTACCCATCATCGAGAACAAACATAGGACCAGGATCACCGTGGAATATTTGTGACCAGGACAACCAATCCCCTGGAAGGTGGCATTCCATCCCTTGCATATCCATTGAAGGGAAGAACTACGCGGTCTGAGAATAAATGCAGGCGTATTTCTTTCTCGCCAGGCATGGATTACTATCTAGGTGGCATTCTACAAAATCCACATCTAAGCACAGCAGTCACAAGAGAACAGCAGGGGAAAGCGCGCGTCTTTCACAACAGCTGAAGATGAATGCACGAAGCAAGGCACGATTAGTCGACTACTCGGATACCGAAGATGAAACAGAGTCGGACGTCTTATCAGGGCCATCGTCTACCGGTCCCCAAGACAAAGATGGATTCGCTCAAATAGTGCTTGGACTGCAGCAACAGTATACGGATGAAGTCCGAGTGCTGCAGTCACGGCAAGAAGCCACAGACCGAGACATGGTACTGTATATGGAACAAGTGAATAAAAGACTGCAGAGGCAGGACAACGTCATAGTTTCAATCATCAAGGTTGGTTTCCCCTCTGGACAAGCGACTGTTTCTCTGCCATGGTCTGGCCGGCTCAGGTGGCCATCTTCGAGGGGTCAATGACTACCTTAAAGATGCTGACTAGTTGAAGAAAGTGTTCGGTGTCCAACCTCTGGATCCGGTAGTGAGGGATTTTACGCAGCAAGCCGGCAATACTGATGGCTGTGAAAAGGGTGCGGCACTGCCATCGCCCTCTCCCACACCACCTGCTCTCGTCCAGAGACGTGATGTGCCGCCTTCGGAGCGGAAATCCACCCAGTCGTCGTCTGTAATTCAGACAGCCAAGCCTCCAGTTGCTAGTGAGGTTCAAGAGCAACAGTCAACGGCTGCTGAGGCGTCGCCTCCATCGGTAAGAAGCACCGGTAAGAAAGCGCCTAGGCCGCGGCCGGTCGCGGCGAGTCGAAGACCATATCAACCCCCGAGAAGACCAAAAAGGAAAGATGGCGGTGTCGATGGCAGCGAAGACCTCCGAGGGGAGGCGTCGGAGATGGAACCCGGAGAGGCACCGGGCGTCAGACCCCACAAAGTCGAGCAAGTGGCCGATCTTGCTGTTGACGGGAGCATTGTTCGGCGTGAAAAGTCTCGGCAAAAAGTACTATCCACGCGGGACGCTATCAACCCGTACGATGACCCGAAATACTTCAGTCCACTGACCATCATCGACGACGACGGAGTTGGACGGCCGATATTCAAGTTCTATCCGCATCCGCTGACAGTCGAAGAGCAGTGGGCAGAATATAGGTATGGTCTCCATGGCCAGGAGCCCGTCGAATTGCTGGAGAAGAAATACCGGGCCAAGTGGCGGAACGGCACATACGGGCGCTCGTGGTTCACTCGCCGAAAGGCTTTCTGGGACAAGATGAAGGGTTTGCTGGCTCAGGGCCACACGGAAGCGGAAGCGTTGGCGTTGCTGAGAGACCTTGGGAACGGAAGCGTGCCGACTGTGGTTGCCATTCTGTGCAAAGAACGTGGGGAGGGAACGCGCCCAGGGAGACAAAAATCCCGGGACTGCTCGGTAGGCGACTACTCGGTATGCGGCAGTAAACACCCGAGGGATGACAGCTCCAACGAGGAAGAGAGTGTTCTGAGTGAATCAGAGGCTGACGAAATCCCGAGGGCCACCCGACCTAATCGGTTGAGGCTTCGGAAAAGGCTTGTTGTCTCCATGGACACTATGGATGGGGTTGTTGAACCTAGGTCGGCTGTAAACTATGGGCAAGAGGCCGATGGATTAGACGAAAAATGAAGGGTTGAGTCGGGGCATGGTTCGTATAGCTCGCAAAATTGTTGTTCGGTAGCATAAAAAATAGACGGGGGTCGCTCAGGCTTTGGTGACCAGTGTTGAGGTCATGTAAACGCAGTTTTGACCATCCCCAAGACGACCATGCAAACATTGGGCACACCTTCATGGCTTGCGGGCTTCTGCAGCAACGGCAGCGCTGAACTAATCGCGTTTCGAAATCATAGAGACAGTGCCAAATTTCTGTGGCTGATGGCTTGTCGTGGAAGGGCAAACTGAAGGTCGTTCCAAGTCTCGGCATCCCTCACTGAAGGCGTGGGATAAGGGGAGCTGCTGGTGATGATGGACGGCAATCATGACGGCGAGACCTTGCTCGCCATGTACCGGCTATTCGGCCAATTTCTACCCGGAAATACCAAAGGGGAAAAAAGCAGCCAGGAGTTCCATGGTACCGTGGGTCAACTTGACCGGCGTCATGACGACCTGATCAGTCGGCCTTTGCTGAAGCTTCTTCAACACGCAGACACAATTCTCCAACGGCGTCTTTCGACAAGACTGTGGAAGCCGGGGAATCGGCCAGGATCGATACTCTGGAGACTTTTCAATTCCGGCTTCGAACAAGGCTCTGGTCGGCGACAGGATGCCGAGCAATGCCTTGCTATCCAAGCGCCGGCTTGTCCAGGAGACTTCGTCCGAGACTGCGACAAGGAGACGAAAAACAAGCTTCTGTCTTGGAATCAGCTGGTCCCAAGTTTCACAACGACACATGGACCGCAACGCTTGGCAGTGGGAAGGAAAAAAAGAGGAGGATTCCTAGACAGCCGGCGGGCACGGTGTGAGTCGTCGCAATTCCCTCGACACGGCGGTTGACGAGGCACAATGGGCAGTGGGGGCGGCGATGTCGTCTTGAAAGCGAATCCAGACCCTGGACTAGGGGCTGGGGCCAACGGTGTCGACCACGTTTTAAGCGTGGGATCCTTGACGGAGGAGATCCTTAAGGCCCCGGAAAGTGGTGTGATCTCTTCGACTATGAGGAACCGTCTTGTTCGGGATGGCTGGGGAGTCCTTGTTGGAGAAAGCGAGTTTGGTGCATCGGGGGGAGCGAGTCGTGGGGAGAGTGGGAGACACCCGCAAACAGGCGGACGCACTCGATCTCTTTGAGAATTGGTGCCTGGGGAAAAAAGTGTAAGTGCCTGAGGCGTGAGACCACGCGAGTTGTGGGGTCTCATGCAAAGACAAGTCTCGTACTTAGGTAAGCAGAGGGAACAGCGACGGCCGTCGGCGACAAAGCATTGTTGGTGTCACATTTACATTTACGTTCACATTCCATTGGGCCAGTCGCCAACGGCCAAAGAAAGACTGGAATCTACAAGCCTGGTAAGGATGGCGGCTAACAGTGACAGGAGAAGAAGGGAGGCGCCAAGACATGCATGACCTGGCCAGACTGCAAACAAACACGTCGATCTGGATCTGCCATAGCGTGATAAATTGGATCATTTCCCATAATTATCCTTCGAACCGCCCGCGCTGCTCCGTGGTCTGCCCTTCGTGACCAACGTGTTTCCGTCTTGCAAGCTTCTCCCATTGATTGACTTGTCAAGCTGAAAGGCAAATGACAACCAAGGTGCCCAGCTACGGAGAGTAAGGTGAGGTACCAAACTGCCAAATCTGTCACTGAGGCATGGCACTTTCCATATTGGGCTAACATGCGAGTGTCTGTCATACTTGCAAATCCACTTTTGAAGAAAGAGCAAGGAGTTGATGTCAGCTTTGGATGCGTTGGGTAAGGAAGGCATTCCAAGGCCTCAGGAAGGAACGGCAGCGTCAAAGGGCGGAAGGGTAGGCGCGGCATCTGCCAATCATTCGCTCCAGCCTTTTAAAGGTGAATCCCTCCATGTCGATTCTCCACTCTTTTGTCTTTTGTTCCATTCTTTTCCTCCGGTACGGATACCCGTCCACCCGTCCTGCCGTACCCCTCGTCCTCTCTCTCTCTCTTCCTCATTGTGTTAGTTCTGGCCAAATACCACAATTGCGACGCTATTTTATCCAATGGCTCATCAAGAAGACATTTGAACTCCCTCTCGGTCATGGCCTCCCGCCGAGATCGTTCGCAGACTACGCCTTGTCACCCATCCTTGCCCGCCCCAAATTCAGGGTAGTTGTAGCCAAGACTCCAGACGGCTCCATTATCGCCGAGAAACGGGTGCGCTTCCGGCAGCGTCATTCCTCCGATCCCACCGCTGTCCCCGTTCATCATTGCAAGTGCATCATTGCAAGTGCACACTGGTAGTCTGATCTGAGAATTTTCAGCCCACGAGCCTAAAGAGTTCCGTGATGGGGTGGCCTCGAATCCGGGAGCTTCATAGACCTTCTCGAAGCCCGTCCGAGATACATGCATCCCAAGTCTCCCAACAAATGCGCATACAGGACGTCCAAAACGGCGCACAAACCCACAAAACACTAAAGTGACCGACATGTATGTACGTATCCTGCCGTGCAGCGTATGGCAGCAGAACGATCTGGATGACAAGGACCTCGGGTTTCTAGCGCAAGCCCACGGCAGCCCATCAATAAGATCCGATTCCACCCACACACAAACCTCCATTACCCCTAGGTCCATACTCTCTCCATTTCTCCCGCATCCGCATCTTGCAGACTGAACCCCTCCCTCGCCACATCCGGCTCGTCAGAAGGGGGCACCTTCGTTATCGGAGCGTCTTGAAGCGTGGGAGTCCCTGAGGCGGTGGATTCTCGGTGGAGTGCACCGGAGCGGAAAACCTGGGGGAATCTTGCTTAGCCATGCGCCCGTCTCATCTAAATTCCTCTTCTCGGTTTTCTCTTTTCCAAGACCCACCCCCTTCTCTCCCTCGTCAAACCCTGCGTGTTTTTTGCCTCTGCCTCGCTGGCATGTGTCGGTGTCGCTCCGCCAAGTGAACTGGCTGCTTTACAAAAGGTCACCATCTCGCTTTCTTCTTGCTCAGCCTCCCCCGCCAATCACTAGTTGGTTGAGACAAGCCTGGGCGCATGTCGTTTCCTATTCTTTTCTCCCGTCTCGTCTAGAACTTCGCTCGTCTGGTGACAGACTTCAACGCTGTCTCACTCTCACGCGTAACCCCGCCTAATCAAGATCTAATATCCGTATCCCACTCACCTTTCCAACTACCTCCCTTCGACTCGACGACTCCTATTTTTTCCCTCGCCGGTTTCCTCGCACCATGGCTTCGTCCTTGACATTACTTGCTCTCCCCGATGAGGTCCTGCTTCAAATTGTCGGCCATCTGACACCGCCGCTAGATGGCCTGGACATACCCTTCCAAGCCTACACCGACCCAGATGGCGTCGTTGTGACAAATCGCGTCGCCCTTTACCGCCTCGCATTCGTGTGTCGGCGGCTCTCGGACCTGGCAATCCCTTTTCTCTACCAGACTGTCTATCTATGGGGTCAGACGCGACTTCAGTCGCTCCTCCAAACTCTGCTCGAGCGTCCAGAGCTGGGCGACAACATGCGCATCCTCTCCTACGTCTCTTGTTTGGGCACCGATCACTATCCGACGGACGTCCTCTGCCCTTACAAGCGTACCGAATGGCGCCGTCTCGTGGAAGCCTCGCCCCGATTTCCGGACCGCATCAAGACATTTGTTCGCGACGCCAAGACGGAGCTCGAATTCGCTCAGATTGTCTTCGCCCTCGTCCTCTACTCGTCACCAAATCTGCGCACCTTGCACATGCGCATGCCTTTCGCCGCTGGGGAATATCAGAAGCTCAAGGCCATTCTCACCCCGGACATCGAGACAGCAGAGGGCTGCCCGCGCGTCCTCAGCTCCCTCACTCGCGTCATGCTGGAGCCGATGCCGGACTTTCCCGGGGCGAGTTTCTGGCCGCGGCGAGAATTGCCATGCCTCCTGCGGCTACCTAACCTACGCTCTGTGGAACTCGGCTCCGCCGTGTACCGTCCTGCGGTTCTCGAGCCCGGTGATGGTTGGGGCGACGACGGTAGTTGGAAGAACGTCGAGGAACTCCGACTTGTTCGGAGCAGCATGTGGGGTCAAGGATGGCACGCAATCTGCGCCCTTTGTCCCAATCTCAAGCTTCTCGAAATGGGCCCGAGCGGTGTAGCTGAACAGCCTGCAGACGGCGAACACAACCTGAATACCGCTTTATCCCTCGTTGCCGATTCCCTGGAAACATTTTCGTTCGAGGGCATCTTGGCAGGCAATTTCTCGCAACACGTTGGTGGTGATGGCACCCTGACGGTGCTTCCCAACATGAAGTCGCTGCGCAACGTCAAACTCGACATAGGAATCTTATATGGAAAGCCGCAATGGGTAGAAAAGATTGACATCGTTCAGCGATTGCCGCCGGCAGTGGAGTCTCTCGACTTGGCCGAGTTGTGGCATGATGTCGAGGTCGACCAGCTCTCTGCGAAGGAACGCGCCGTCTACGAAAAGGGTCTACAGGAAGCTTTATATAAGCTTGTTTTCGAAAGCAAAGACATCCTACCCAAGCTGAAGGAAGTGACTTTCCGTCCAAACCCGTTTTACGACCCACTACCGATTCCGGAGACTCTTCGGGTCATCAAGTCCAGTGTCGATTTCAAACTCGTCTACTAGTCACCGGCGAGGAATCGGGTTTTTTTTGTTTTTGGGCAACAGCATTATTGGTAGACCCCCATGTTAGCAAGCTTGGAGTCACGGACATGCATTGGGCGGTATCTTTGCAGGCATATCACAATTAGCATTAAGAGCATCACGACACAAAATCTGAACCAAGCAATGTTTACTCTACCCGGCGCCTACACCACGTATGTCGTGAAGAATTCCCCGCATTCTAGTATACCGACCATCTACGACTCCATTCACTCTCGTCGTAGTATCCTCTTCCACCGCCAACATCATCTGCAAAACGGACGGAACGACGTTTTGCCGCGTCAGGCTCCGGTCTATACGCCTTTTCAGACTCCCGATAACAGTCGCGATCCTTCTTGACCGCCCCCCCACGCTTCTTCCGAACCCAGCTCTCCTGCGAAACGTACGTCAACGGCCTCTCCTTCTTCACCGGACGCTCCTCTTCCTCCGCCTCTACCTCCACCCCGACGTTCCTCCGCCTCCGCCGCCCACGATCCTCGACGAGCCCACTCACCCTCCTCTGCCCAAGCCCTTCATACTTCCTCAGCAGCGCGATGTACTTTTCCCAGCAGTCGTCCAGAATCTCCATGCTGAGCTTCAGATTGTCCACCTCGAGCGCCATCTCCGCGATCCGTCGCGTCCAGCTACACTCCCGCTCCCAACCCCCCCGTGAGCCGCGCTCGCAGCGCGTGCCGTGGGCGGCATCGTGGCGGCGGCGTTCGCGGTCGCGTCGGAGGCGGGCTTTGTCGAGTTCTGGAAAGGCGTGGATGAGGATGCGGCCAATGTCGACGAGTTCTGAGATTCCGAAGCGGAGGTCGGGGGATTCGAGGGCGTGGAAGTCGGGGTCCCGGTCAAAGACGCGGATGGTGCGCCAGCGGGGTCGTTGGGCTGGGGGAGGGGGGGAGGAAGGGGGTAAGGGGCTCGCGTAGACGTATATCTGCTCGTGGGTATAGGAGTACGAGTACGACGAGTAAGGGCGTGAGCGAGAGGAGGGGTGACGTTGGTGTTTGTCTTCCATGTAGTTGTGGTATTCTGTCGGCTGGCGACAGTAGGCTGGACACCGGTAGAGGATGATGTTGAGGCTGCAGCATCCGTGGGACGCGCAGGGCCGGGAGTTGGAGGGCGTCGAGGAGGAGAATGGGTGGCGAGAGGAGGAGTGGTTGTTGGGGGGGGAGGGATGCTTGCAGGGACATCGTGGCGGCGTCTGGTAGGGGTTTATGTAGAGGGTTTTGATGGATGTGATGGTTGGGCGGATGTCGCATGACATTGTGTGCGTGTAGACTTGGTAGCACATTGTTTGGCAGAGATCTTTGGGGGTTCGAGGTGGGAATTGTGTTTGATGGTTCCTGAGAAAGGGGGTTTGGAGGACAAGTCTGTTCTCGTCTGGGTGGCGTCGAGATATTTTTTTGATGAGATCTTGGATCAAGCGAGTTGAGTTGGTTCGGTCCGAGGAGGACGAGGTGAGTAGGTTGTTCGAGGACATGGAAAGAAAAGGGCATGGAACAGAGTTATACCTTCAATGGCAGCAATCGGCATTGAATGATCTTGTTTTTTTCATGTGGTTCTTTTTTTCGAGCTCAGAGCTCAGAGACGAGCGTGAGGTGCCCTCTGGGAGTGACAAAGGCGATGTGTTCTGGTATAACGTTGCCTGGGGCTTTGAGAGGGGAGCGGGTTTACCGCCTGGGTGAAGAACAGCTCGGTGGGCTCCTTTGTTCACGAATAGTAATCCTAGTGTGCTCTTTTTACCCAACTTTGCAGAGTATACAGCTTGCCGAAACCTCAAACACATTTTTCCGTCTGTTCAATATGGGAATGGCGTTTTTGGAGACGCCTCTTCACTTGTCAATAAACAAGCTGTCCTCCATCACGATTATTACCCAATCCGCACCTAGGTACTTACCACGGAACTGCGCCCCCCCTCTTTCGTGTTATTTAACAAAGATTCTCCTTTGAAACGATTTTATAACAAAGTCGCAAATTCTCCAGCGGATATTGAAAGTGCTCTTCTGCGCAGACGCATAGATTGTTTCTTTCTTGTCAACCTCGGCTCACTAGACACCTCCATTGGAGCTTTTTCTGAGAAACTCTCTAGCGATTCGAATTCTTCTGGTACTTTATCAAGTCAACGATAGTCGTGCGGAATATCTTGAGAGAATGCCAGCCCCGTAAATGTCACCAACATCCTCGCTTGACTTCAGATTTGGCTTCTCAATGGCTCGCTGAACGTTTCTAGCCCGGGCTGATTGGACAGAAAGAGACGCTTAAGCGCTCGTTTGAGCATTCGCAACCCCCCTTTTTCAATGTGAAAAGGCGCGAGGGATTCTTTGGCATGGTTTCCTTTCAACCGCAGTCAAACTAGAAAACCTAGAAGCGTCGGAGCCGCGGCTGCTGCCGTAGACTATCACAATGACTTTCCTTCCAGGTGAAATCCATACTCCTGATGATATCGATTGATTCTATTGAGTGAACCAGGCTTTACTGCTTATTGTAGAAGAAACCCTTTGTCATTCTTACCGTTGCGCCCAAATACATGGACTGATGATTTGGACTTTGGGTTCGGGCCGTTCCACGAAAAGGCAGTTCCCAAAAGTCTCAAGACCAACAGGCAAGTGAAGCTTGGCCGTTGGGCGCCTGAGAACCTGTACATCTACCCCTGTTCTGACCTTTGGGGCCTGGTGTCGCGGCTCTGGATGGGCCAACAGAATCAGCCAACGCTATGATTTCCAAAACAACCTTCTGCCACCCAGCAAGCTCGAATGCGAGCCTAGGTGGGCGTTGTTTCTAGTACAAAAATTTGTATGGTAGTTTGTTGTTATTATCATTATCTATTTCATTTTCAAAACCCTTGCCGTCCCTAAAGATGGTGACTATCGTCACCAGAATCCCTTGCCCTACTGATTGGCGAAATTCCAACTCACTTGCCGCCTTCGACCCCGTTTGATAGCCTCATTTGACCATGCCTCCGTCGATGAGGAAATCAGGGGTAAACCTACCCAGACCTCTCTAGAATACCAGAAAGACTCTCGGAAATAATCATGCGGCTTCCGCCAAAAGTGGCATACCCGCCAATATCGACCCTGTTCTAGAAGGAGGCGCATACAACCACTTAGTGATCATCATCTGCAGAGTCGCCTCACCCGAGGGACTCGTCGAGGTATTTACGGTACTCACATCCTCTGTCTTTCAAATGCTATCAAATTATGAAAAATACATTGACTGCGACGTCCCAAATAACATCCATAGGTACCCGGGGCATCGCCCAAGCCAATACGTGACCCACCTGATTGGAAACACTGGCTCAACTACGTGACCATCAGACCAGCCACACACTCCGCCATGCCCGACACCCAGCTCTGCCTTCCGACAACTGCCCGCCGCTGGCGAAGAACTCGCACGGCAATATTCGTCAGGGCTACTCGGTCCGGGTGAAGGCGTTTCGTCCGCTCCGCCAGAGCGGCGGGGACCCGGTTCTGGGGAAAGCCTCGTTCAGGAAATTGAAAGAGGCCGCGTCGTTTTGCAACCCTTATGGCCCAAACGCTTCAAAGAAACCCCAGCGTTAAAAATCCTGGCCATTCCTGGTTCCCTTGCAAAGACTAGAGATTGGTTCAAGGATGACCAGGATGTTGTGCAATGCCCTCGTTGTCATCCAGGCTGGCCGGTTTCTGGTTTTACTCTTCGTCACTATCTTTATGTATCTGTATCTCAAGTGAAGACCGTCGTATCATAAGTAAAGTAGGCCCGGAAATACATGAATCTCGGAGTTGATCACTTTTGTATGATGGTAAGCGTCCCATATGTGGCTAGTATCTTGTTGACTTTTGCTTCGCTTCGGACGACAGGAAGCCTGCAGGATCCTCACCGTGAATTTTTGGTGTGAGTTTGCTGTAGTCAAACGTCGGCAAGGAGTCAACATGAACCAGCCGCACCCAAGTCCAAGTTCCAGACCTTTTTGGAAAACCAGCTCCAAATCAGCCGCATCCGGTGAAGTCTTTGCCCCTCAGCAGTTTAAGCTCATTTCCATCTGCAAAGATACCGAAATCAGAGAGTCTATACACCGGGACGACTTTGAATTGGCATACTATTTTTGATGTAAAGTGTCTTCACATCGCATGTCTGGTCTCTTTTGGCTTGCTCAGCCTTCGGGACTCGACAATGTTATTTGAATCTGAATCATAGCAATGCACCAATACACCACGGCGATTATTTCCAGGAATTCTTGCTCCCCTGCAGGTAAAGGATGATTGTTTTCTGCGTCAAATCATGCATAGCCTACCTTTTCGTCACACTCCGGAGCCCAACATCTTCGGCGGTCGAGAAAGGGTGGCAAAACAAAGCCAAGCAACATTCGGAACTCCGAACCTGTACAGTTCGCTTGCGAGCAAACCGTGGTTTCTACGCGCCAGAGACATGTCTCTGATGTAACGTGCAACAGATAAGGGAGACCGGAATCATGACCTCGCAAACGTCCATCATCCTCTTTTACGAACTCGACCGAAATCGCATCATCACATACGCCGCATCACATTTAGCGGAACCGTTGGCACACTCCCTTAGCGCCGGTCCGCAATCGTATTTTAACGGCATCGCTAGGCTACGCGGCTGTTAACGTAAGAGCTTCGCACGAGTGCCAGAGTGGGTAGCCCGCCGCTGTTCCCCTTTCGGCCCGGGGTAAGACATCGCACTCGCACTCGCCTAGCCAAGAGCTGCCGCTTGTACGTTGGGCGAGACAACTGCGTCATTCGCATGTGTGCTCCCAGTTGCGATGTGCGTGAGACACTTGAGACTCGTGCGGTGCGTGTCACTGTCATTGGCCGGAATCAGGGTATTTCTTGTAAGTGTAGGGGGTTGGGAGATATGTCCGGCCAGCTTTAAAAAGGGGTCATCGTCTCCGCCCAAAGATGGCTATCTGTAGAGGAGACACAAATCATTGACGAATTGACGAATCACTTGAAGCTCATAGAAACCATGACGGAATACAAGTTGAACATAAAAATCGACCAGAACATGGTCAAGAAGTTCAAGACCGGTGGGCTGAGGCTATGCCTTGGCTTCGGCTTCGACACGACGGCGCGGCCGGGCTCTACGAAATTCAACGTCATCGGATATTCTTCAGGTACGAATTCACTTGTTCGGCCTTTAGTTTGGGTTGAATTCCGTCCCAGCTAACTGGATTGGATAGTCTGCGCTCGAAACTTGGTGGTGACATGGAGAGACGACTACTCAATCGCGGGAACAATGAGTGCGTTCTCCAGCGGAGGTGAGTTGCGCCAAGTTCTCATTATAATGGCGAGCCATTTGCTAAAAGAAAGACCAACGCAACAGTGAAATTCGACGTCGCCACAGCCCAACAGCCAATCGCCTTTGGAGAATCCTGGACATTACCGCCCGACTGGACCGACGGCTTCACCAGCTCCGACGAGAAAGCACCAGGCAACGGCTTCATCTTCAACAACCTGACCTCCTCCGCATCGGCCGTCGTCTACAAGACCGTCAACGGCGTCGAGGCCCCCGTCCACGTCAGCCAGTTCGGCCCCCTGCCGCCCGGCTCCGAGACCCTGACGCCCAAGCCGCTGGCGGCTGTGTGGTTCCAGCCCTCTGCGGAGACGGGCGCCATGATTGACAAGGTTCACGACTCTTCTCTAAAGGTTATTGACTTTGAGGATGTAATGTCACATGAGATTGAATATGGGCCGTCTGGGTCGTGGACGATTGTTGACTAGATGGAATATTTACCAGAGGGCACAAATAACTAGCGTGGTAGAACAAGCGTGCTTGAGATGGCGTAGCCAATACCCAAAATAAATATTTAGATGGCCATGTTCATTCTATGGGTTGAAGAGACTACTCTGCAGAATGCGCGTGTACTCGAACCCCCCTTCAATCCTTCTTAGGAGGCTGCTTGCTCTTACAGCTTACATGGAAAACAGCCAATTTGACAATATCCTTCATACCCCTCAAAATGCCAATATTCTCCTTGAACGGCAGCGTATCGCGGAACCTCTCATGCGCATCCACGCTCGGCCACCCGATGAAGGCCGCAAGCAGATTGCCCGTCTTGCCGGGCTCATCGGTGACGGGCACATCGTTCTCGACACTCCACCCGTGGCTGATACCCCTGAAGTCGGGCGAGGTATCGAGAGCCTTGGTCTTGAATTCCTCGAGCTGCGCCGTGAGAGACGCCTTGGCGGCGTCGTCGAGGTCGGCGGGGAAGAAGAGGGTGAGGACCTCAACGACGGGGGCTTCGGCGAGAATGGTGGGGGGCCAGGGGGCGGGGGTTATGTGCTTGATGTAGCCTTTGGTCCAGTCGAGGTATGGCTCTAGAGCTTTGCCGATGGGTGCGTGGTCTCTGTGAAAGCATAGGATGAGTAAGTTGTTTTGTGAGAAGACAGAATGAAGGCAATGCTTCTCGTCGGTGGGGGATGGAAGTGAGAGGCAGCTCACGCGCTATCACGGTACGCCAAGTGCTCCTCCACTGAGTCCCAATCGAGAAAGCACCAGCTCTGATCTGGCTTCTCGATTGAATTGCCATAATAAATGCTGCCGGCGCCGGGTTGGCTGACGGCGAGGTCCAACACGCGCTCGAAAAGTCCCCCATCATCGGCGGACTTCTTGCCAGGCTTAATGGTGAAGTAGGAGAATTCTGTCACGCCCATGTTGGAAAGTTTTGAGGAATGAATAACCTGACTTGCAGATATGGTCATTGATGGCTTACTCTCTTGATACCTTTGACCGCGAATTAATATGCGCATCTGTCAACAATTTATATCTCACCCTGGGCAGTGGTCTCATGCGTATGTAAGCCATGTTCGGAAGCATGAGATGAGGTTAGCGTTGATGACATCACCCTGGCTCACCGTAGTCTTGTTTGGCGCCGCAGATAAACCTGCAATGGATTGGTTGCCGCTGGTGGAATACCTGCAGCATTGTGGGGGCTTTACAAAATAACGCGGTGATGTCGCAGTGATTCACTTCAAGTCCATCGTGGCCGGGAAAAGCTGTGAAATTGGATGACTCACTGACGATAGCATGTAAGTACGGGTACTGTGTGGACATTCCAGAGAAGAAGATCTCGACTGGGCAATGGCACGGTTCATTGATCTTCAGATGATGGGCCGGGGATTCACAGTCCCATGCAATCGACACATCATATGATCTCTTCAGATCGGCTGCTAAGCCTTGATTCAAACCCTTCAATGCTATCTTGAAACCAACTCATTCCTCAACGCCTCTGCGCCTTTCCGCAAGGAATAATTGAAAGCTTAAAAGGCTGTTGCTTCCAGAGCATGTTGATTCCCCTTTTGGAACGTGGGACCACTCGCTATTCGTGATCCCGCGCAAAGTCAATGCCTCTTCACCTCCAGCGGACCAATATGTCGCTCACGTCTCAATAGCAGCTCATCTCGGCCGACCACCCGAGGGCCGAGGCCAAGCCTGTGGCAGTACCCGCATCTTCCCCCAGGCCCTTCAGCGAGAAGGTTGGAAGACGACACTAAGAAATCCCACCGCCTCCCAAGACAACAAAGTAGGCTCTACCACGACGTCGCACCCGCCCGAGAATTTCGACTCTGGAACACCTGCGATCCTCGTCGCCCGTCTTGCCATTGGTAGCTCGACAAACCCTGAAACCATCTGGTGAGGTGGTGGACAGGGACCAGGGGCTGCTCGGATCTGAAGCGAAGGGGAATCAGGGGGTTGAAGAAAGAAGAGGTGAACCCCACCATTGTCTCGCATCCAATCCCCATCAACTCGATTAACTCTCTCTCCCATTTCGAGGGCTGACTTGCCTGTCACGCTGCCACCAATGGCCGCTTTGGGTCCATGTGTCTGTCGTCGGGTCTCTTATTCAGACGGACTTGTACATGGGTTCAAGGGGGTTTGCAGAGGGGTCCATAAAATAGCCCGAGACACCAGCGGCTCAAAAGAAGGCCGTCAGGGACAGCCTTACCGCATCGAGCGACGACCGACCAGCTTTCGAGACTTGGATTGTTGCAAGAGCCTCTTTTCCCTTTAGGCTTGCGTTCACTGCAGCTGGCTCACGGTCCAGCTGGGTACCCGCGCAGCAACATGAACTGAGATTGTTTGCCTACTCAGATCCTCGATCCCTCCCTCGGCTAGAAATACACGCTTCGCGCGGACTCCTTGAGACTTTGCCAACCTAAATATTCCCCCCCATCGGCACCCATCATCCGAAGCAGGCGAGATCTTGACGCAAGGCTGACAGGGCTTAGCATCCCGGCCAACGTTCTCTCGTGTCTCGTGAATCACGTAGACTAGAGAACATGTGATGATGAATAGGCCATGGCTTGAGGGAAAGTTGAGTCGCTTGACCAGACGTAATGGGGCAAGGGCAAGGACACCATCCAAACCTTCCGCAATGTGACGCCCAATGGCAACCCCAAGCATCCAAGAGCAGGTTTTGGCGATGTTTAGACGTGGACTGGGGACCGATCCGCAGACAGGAGTCTAATACGGACGGCCCTATGCTTATTTGCCAAGCACCCCCTGCCCCCTCCCCTGCCCCCTTGTGATTGATGTGATGCTTAAAAGGCGATCATGTCCAGTCGTCCGTCTCATAGGTATTGTGTCCAAAAAGACAGCCGCAGTAATCGTAACCCATTCGTTCATTTTCTTTCTTTACTTACAGTCCTTCCGGAAAGGCATTCGCTTCGTTTCCCCACTTCATTCTATACATTATCTGTCGCGATAGTTTCCTGAAAGACGTCTCTATCCTTTACCAGTAACACTCTCCATAATCATCACGATGCAGCTCTCCCTCTTCGTCCTCGCCGCCAGCGCCGGTGCCGCTCTCGGAGGTAAGTCCACAACCCCATCAACACAGCCATCAACAAAAAAACAGAAGAACAAGAAACCAAACTAACCGCCCGCCAAAAACCCAGCGCCCCAGCTCGCCCCCCGCCAAAACGCCTGCTTCATCGTCGGCAAGACCGTCCTCCCCAAAGAAGTCTCCGACGCCGTCACAAACCTCCAAGCCAAGGTCACCTGCGACGCCTCCAAAAAGACAATCTCCAACGTCCCCGACGTCACCGCCGGCGGCGTCACCTTCTCCTCCATCAACTTTGCCGGCTCCAACCAGAGTCCCCTGGCCTTCGCCCTCGACAAGTTCGCCACCACGGAACCCCTCGCGAGCAACGACCTCGCCAAGTTCCAAAACGAGCTCAACGCCTACGTCGCCACCGAGGCCGGCATCCGCTCCGTCGGCGGCAGCCTGGCTATCAAGGTGCCCAAGTTCTTCCTCTCCATGCAGGTCTCGCGCATCCAAACTGCGCAGGGGAATCCGCCTGCCGCGGCGGGCCAGCAGGTCAATCACCTCCGTGACAAGGTGCTCAAGAACGCACCCAAGGAGAACAAGGCTTTGTTGGACCAGGTTACTGCGCTGGCTGCCAAGACCACCTGAGCTTCGGCGGTGGAAGATGGTCATTGTTTGTGGTCGAGTGAATAGAGTTGGGACGCAACGAGTCAGTAGTGGGAAGTAATGTGAATTGAAAACAAATCTTTATTCAACCGTTCATCTCGTCTCAACGTTGAAAAGACTTTGAATACATGCCGCTTTCCGAGCGTACTATACAGGCCATTACAGGGCATAGTATTAAAAACATGAGGAGTGGGGGGAAGAGAGGAAAAGAAAGAAAGGCTGTTCTTTTCTTTGAGTCTCCCAGGTAATCGAACCGTTGTATCGTTTCAAAACGCCGCCGAGTGAACCCGTAAAAACACTAAATCGGGCCTCCCAAGTTGTACACGCCGCAAATAAGAATCCTGTCTCATCTCATCTCGGTAGTTTGTTTCGTTCGCCATCGTCGTTCTCATCTATGCCTCACTTCGGGGCCAACTGCTTCGCCAGCTGCTCCTGCTCGCGCACCTCGGCACCAGAGGCCCGCCACCACACGTCGCCTCCCCACCTAATGAGCCGCTCCGCGGCGCCGAGGGGTGTGACGGCGGGGCGGACGTCGAGGTAAAAGACGGGTTCACCGGTGGGTTCGGGCTCGCCAGAGTAGTAGTCGATGACGTATCGGATCTCCTTCTCGACGCCGCCGACCTTGCGGGAGACGAACCAGTCGTGTCGGTCAAAGGGAGGCTCAGTCCTGCGGTAGGTTAGCTTCTGTGCAAAGGCACACGAGAGAATCAAAGTTGGGAGATGTCATACTCAAACTTGGAAGGGTAGAGCCAGCCAGCGACCTGCCACATGACTGCCTTGGGCGTCATGTCCTTTGGACGTCCCTGGAACCGGATCAGAGTCGGGGGCGTCTCCGTCCCGTCCTTGAGCTTCTCGACCATGTCATCCGAGTTCTCCTCTCCGCGCTTACAGGCCTGCCAGCCCCTGTACAAGCCCTTTCCGAAGCGCTCCTCCCAGCTCACAATCTCGGCCCAGGCGCCCTCGTTCAAAAAGTTGTGGACCGAGACCATGGACTCCACGGCGGTGATGTCGGTGTCGGTGTATCCCTTGCGCAGAAGGGCGTTGTACATCTGCTGCGGCGAGGGGTACTCCCAATTGCCGTCGCCGGATCCCCTGGGTATCGTCGAGGGCTCTCTCTCTGTGGGCAGGGCGACGGCTTGATTCTCGGCGGGGGCCTGGGAGATTTCTTTGAACATGTAGTTCAGGGGGTTGATCTGCTGGAGGAAGCCCTTTGGCTCGGGCTTTGGTGCGTCGTGAGGTACCGGGCATGATGCTGGCGGTGCGGACTCTCGTTGGTCGTGGGGGACGGGGCATGCTGAGGGAGGAGGAGCAGCTGCGGCGTGACGCTGGTCGTGAGGAACTGGGCAGGCGGAAGGAGGTGCGGGTGCGACGGGCTTCGCGGTCGTGGTCAAGGCATCGGCGGTCTTTTGGTGCATCGGGCAGCTGGGCTGGAAGATGTTAGACGGTGTCAAGCGTTGCCAGGGTTGGTGTTCGACATACAGGAGGAGTACCGGCTGGGATGGCGGCGCCATGGGGATGCGATGAGGCGAAGGTCGCGTGGACGGTTGTCGCAGGAGTATCGGCCCAGAACCAACCCATGATGTACGGTCGGAAAGATTAGATAGAATAGAAAGATGGTAAGAACAAGTAAGTAATGTACAAAAAGGCTGGCTGGATGCGACAGCACACGAGTGAAGTGGTTGAGGGTATCGCAGAAGGAGTTGTACAAAAAAAAAGATTTACGGTTTGGTCGGCACGGACTCGACGATAAGAGAAAAAGGGCGCGGATAAAGAAGTTGGACGGCGAGGTGGGTTCTCCGCATCCGTAATCGACGGCACCGCAGTGGCTCAGCCGCCCAAGCTGGCTGGGAAAAAAAAATATACCCTGCGTGCCTGCAACAGCAGCAGTGCAGGCGCTGTCGCCATCGGACAGACCCGCGACTGCTTTCCGACTTAAACCCGCCGTGCCCGTCCCGTCCGGCGACCTCAATTGGTGCTGTTAGCCTGTGACACAGATCCAGACCGTCGAAATGAACGCCAAAAAAATGCGAGTGTCATTGACTGATTGGCACATGATCCCCCGAGGATTCCCCGCCACAGCTAAGGTACCCGCCCTGCCACCAAACCACCCAAAAATCCCTACGTCACCACCGAACGCCCTTTCGCATCCGTCAGTGGTCCCCGATCCCGCGATTCTGGGCGCGCGACTTCACCTCCCTTCCGCGCCGTTCCCCTCTCCCGCCTCGGGCGAACCCCTTCACAACCTCCCCACCCCCACCCTGCGACACTGAGAACATGATACCGGCCCCCCGATCATCAACCCCCGATTCTCCCTCGAGATGAGACTGGCCTTCGTCCTGGGCCGGTTTTGTCCACGTCCGGGCTTCCGAGCGCCAGCGAACGGAACCCATTTCTACTCCACATTCAGGAGCGCCTTCCGAAGCTCTCCCCACTCGAGGCAGCTACCGTGGCGACGGACCGGCAGCAATCGATACACGAAATACACACTCCGTGCCGGCGGTGCAGGTGCTGGTGCTCTCGGCACAGCCGCCTTCTTCGAGCTGTCTGAGAAGGACAATGGGGGCACCGACCAGACGGGCGAAAAGCGCATGCTAGAAGTCAGCCGAGCCGAGATCAAGAAGACGGTCGACGACGACGACAGCGGGATTTCGAGGGCATGGCACACGTTGAAGATTGCTGTCGACGTCTACGTATGGGAGCCCCTCTGTACCGGTGTGAGGTTCCTCCATCTGCTCGTCATCTTCGTCCCCGTCATCGTCGCGGTCCCTGCCTTGTGGCTCGGCAGGCGGCAACCCGATCGCGATAATGAGAGGAGCGGCACAATATGGTGGTATGGCTTCCTGGTTCAGTCCATGGAGTGGGCGGGGCCAGCTTTCATCAAGGTACTGTTCGCGATCGAACTCAATAGCAAAGCAATCACGTCACTAACACTGCGTAGCTCGGTCAATGGGCCGCCTCTCGCTCCGACATCTTCCCCAACGAAATGTGCGAAATCATGTCCAAACTCCACTCCAACGCCCCGGCGCACTCGATACACGACACCAAGCGCATCGTCTCCGCGGCATTTGACGGACGCGACTTCAACGACATCTTTGAGGAGTTTGACGAGACGCCCCTCGGCGTCGGCGCCATCGCCCAGGTCTACAGAGCTAAGCTGAAGGCCAGCCTCGCCGCGCCCGGCGACGCCGACCTGCCCCAGGAGCCCAGGCCTCTCCGTCACAAGGTCGCAAAGAACGTCGAGGCCGCGCTCAAGAGCACGCCCAAGAGGGTCCCCTCCACCTACGTCGCTGTCAAGGTCCTGCACCCCCGCGTCGAGAGGACCGTCCGGCGCGACCTGCGCATCATGCACTTCTTCGCCTCCGCTCTCAACATCATACCTACAATCGAGTGGCTCTCCCTCCCCGACGAGGTCGCACAATTTGGCGAGATGATGAAGCTCCAGCTCGACCTCCGCATCGAAGCCGCCAACCTCGCCAAATTCCGCAAGAACTTCAAGGACCGCACCACGGCCTGGTTCCCCTACCCGTACACCGAGTTCACCACCCGCAACGTGCTGGTCGAGGAGTTCGCCCAGGGCATCCCGCTGGCCCATTTCATGGAGAACGGCGGTGGCGTCTTCCAGCACGACATTGCCTCGGAGGGCCTCGACGCCTTCCTGCGCATGCTCCTGCTTGACAACTTTGTCCACGCCGACCTGCACCCGGGCAACATCATGGTCCGCTTCTACCAGTCCCACGAGCCGGACCTCAAGTTCCGCAGGAATCACGCCAAGGAGCACCCTGAAGACCAAGACGATGTCACGGAGCAGGTCCTCGCTCGCCTGCGACCCTACCGCCACAGAAAAGACCCCGCAGCCTGGGCAGCCGAGCTTCGCAAGATTGACAACGAGGGCTACCGCCCACAGCTCATCTTCATCGACACGGGCCTGGTGACGGAGCTCAACGAGAAGAACCGTGCAAACTTCCTCGACCTCTTTCGCGCCGTTGCCGAGTTTGACGGGTACAAGGCCGGCAACCTCATGTGCGAGCGCTGCCGCCAGCCCGACGCCGTGCTCGACAAGGACGTCTTTGCGCTCAAGATGCAGCACCTCGTTCTCGGCGTAAAGAGCCGCACCCTCGCGCTGGGCAACATCAAGATTGGCGACATTCTCCAAGAGGTCCTCGGTATGGTCCGCGGGCACCACGTCCGGATCGAGGGCGATTTCGTCAATGTCATCATCAGCATCCTGCTGCTCGAGGGCATCGGGCGCAGCCTGAACCCGGACATGGATCTTCTTAGTAGCTCCCTGCCCATTCTGCGGCAGCTGAGCGCGCAGAGCGGTGCCGAGATGGTCAAGAAGGGTGATTTTAGCATGTTGGTTGTGTGGGCTGGCCTGGAGACCCGGCGGTTCTTGCAGGCGAGCATTGAAGATGTGAGTAGAGCACTCGTCTGTTGAATGATGTGCACTGACTAACGATTCACAGGTCGAACGTTGCGTCAAATATGATCTCCTTGCGCCGAATGTGTAATGTAAAACTGTACAGTACTGATAAATGATTGCATGGGTTGGCGCTCTAGATGGGGCAGGGTAGAGATACATCTCATAGAGCAGAGGCCTCGAATATACGCCAGTTTTAATTTGTTGCTACTCAGCGTTGTTTAGTTCCGCGCTACGTGTGTCAGGCTGAGATTGATTATCTCAGCTCCATCCAAACAAACAACCCCATAGCGACGCCCCTGGTCCGGGGTGCGGACCGCGGCTCGGAGACTCCAGTGCTTGAGGCATAGAGGTTCTGCATTGGTGACCAAGAGGCGTGAGCTTGCGCTGCCAGTGGGAATTTGATTGAGGTAGCTCATGATGTTTGGGGGTTGGAATCGGAGTAGGTCAACACGGAGACAATGAAATTCATCGACAGGCCCAAGTTCAGAAGCGATAACGAGCAGCGTCTCTTTTCTCTGTGGCCCAGTCGCTGTCCTTGTTGACCGTCAAGATCCATTTAAGGAGGGGGGCGGTGAAGTCTTCCGCAAATGCCGGTGCTAAGTATTGACGAGGAATCAACTGCGGGACTGTCCGGGGCCGAAGACAACCTAAAGAGAACAATGATCTCGGAGTTGAGAATGATTGAAGGTTGTGAGGGAGCATCCTTTGGATAGGCCCGCCTAATTTCAGTGGACGACGTGACCAAGTCGTTGGGTTCAGCAATGGTCCTCGCGGCTTCCCAGTCCTCGACATTCTTACTCACTTCACTTCAAGCAAGCTTCGAAAGGGGGAAACATAAGAAAGAACCGGGACTCTCCGCGACGGTGGAACCTTTGGTAGATCTCTCTACCACCTGTACCTTCTTTGGTAACGAGGGCGTTGTTCTAGCAGCTTTCTTATCAGCGTGTGTCAGGTAGATTTGAAATTAGGGGGATTCATGGGTTCAAGCTAAGGTACGTCAGCCAGAGCCTGTTATATACGATCATGGGCAAGCGTAGAATTCTGAAAGTTTGACAGACGAGGGGGCCCAGAAGTATTCCGTGATTCTTGAACTTTGACAAGAATTCAGAGGTTGAAGTTATGATTAATGTGAACAAAAAAAAGCCGGCTGAGCAAACACGCACCTGACCGGGCTACTCTTCATCTTCCTAAGGCAATCACGACCGCGGCATCTAGGTCGGTCGTTCCTTCCTCGTGCCGCCCTGAAGGTGAGGATGCTCCTTCCTCCGCCTACCACCTCTCCCCCCCATATCTATTTCTGCTTGGTCCTGCTCTTCTTTTTTTTCTTCAACCTGCCCATCACTGCAAATCAGGACGACTTCATCTTTCTCGTCTATCGAGGCAACAACATCGTCTTGCTGAGTTTTTCCTCTGGCATATCCTCACGAATCCTATTCCATCCTGCAAATCGTTTGCTCTTTACCCTTACATCCTCCACGGATTGCTTCCCTACCTTACTCTTGGGCTCATTTCTGCGTTGCTCTCCGAATCCTCAACGCTCTGCCGATCCCTGCCTCCCGCTCAACCCACTAGGTGTCACCCCAACCTCGTCCCCGTACACTATCAACTGTTTCACTCAAGCCATCACCGCTATTGTCACAGCTTGAGACTCAGCCGCATCGCCGCTATGAGTCTCGACATCGACAAAGAATGCTGGAATCGCTGGCACCCGGTCTTCAGTAGCCTCGCTGCGAAATATGGCTTTCCCGCCAAAAGCATCTTCCAACTCGCCAGTCTTCTTCGCTTGCATAGTGGTGAAGGAAGTACCTTCAGAATCACAGGTGAACGTTGGCGATTCGTCATCGACGTTATGCGCAGAGGCAAAGACATTGTGGATATTATCGCCATCACTCTCATCACCCGTCATAATCAGGACGACCGTCGCAATGGCGCTGTCATTGCAAGAGCATGCAACATTCACCCAACTCCGGCAGACAACAACCGTCCTGGGGGGCCTCATCTGAGGTGGTATCCGGTAACAAGTGGTGGCGAGGTTTACCAACACTGTTGCGACAAGGAGTGTACCAGCCCTGATAAGTCTGGATCCACATCAAGAGGAACTTGGGAAACATCCCGACTCCGTATCATCCAGAAGGCTTATGAGCAGGAAGCCTTGCTCTTGAGACAGCTCTATAAAGAGGCCACGGTGAATGCATCAACAAGCTTTCAGGCTTCGCAGCAGGACCCTCAGTCTATGAATGCAGGAGTCGCAAGGAGCAAAGAGACTAGTACGGGAATTGACACGGGGTCCCAAGAATTCGAGGGGTTCAATCACCTTTCTCAGGGGCAGTCGCAGCACCTTGAGAAACAACGCCGCGACGAGGTAGCGTCGCTGCGCCGTGATTTACAATCAGCCAACATCGAAACAAAAGCTCTTCGGGCACGAAACATCCAACTGGACAAGGACAACGCTAGAAAGTCAGCCACCATCGAAAATGTGCAAATGGAAGTGATCCACGTTCGCCGTCAAAAAGCAAATCTTCTCCTTGAAAATAACGACCAAATGGCAAGAATTAGAGAACAGAGGCTTCTCATCAGCGACTTCCTTCAGAAGAACCAGGAGCTTCAGACCGAGGTCACACAACACAATGAATTCGCCGGTCTCAACAAGCAGCTCGAGGCTGAAAAAGATACTCTGGTTGAGCAGAACGAGAAACTCACGAACAAGCAAAACAACCTCATTAAGAGCAGGCAGTCTCTTCGTGACAGCAATGCCGATCTCGAGGCCAAGATGGAGAAGATGGAACGAAAGAGGATACGCATGGACAACAAGTTCAATAAGCTGGAGGCCAAGGCTCAGTCTCAAGAGAAACAAATCGCCACATTGACTGCGGCAAATGATGAAGTCAATGAAGTCAGAGAAGCGAATATAGAGCTGAACGAGAATACGGCGAAGCTCGAAGGCGAAAAAGAAGAGGCAATCAAGATCAGCGAAGGGCTCGTTGAGCAACTCACAGAGCTGGAGAACGAGCTTCTTCAAAGTCGCACCAAGGTCAGTCAGCTATGGCATGACATGGAACTCAAGAACGAACACGATAGACGCAACGAAACTGCGCTCGCGGAAGCTCAGCAGGACCTCAAGCATCGCACCACGACGCATTCGAACGAGATTGAGAAGCTTAAGAAAGACATCAGCGCCAAGGAAGCCATCACGCAACGTCTCCAGGGTGAGATACTCTGCCTTCAACAACGATCGCAGGCCACCCCATACACCCCGCGCCGTCCCTACGGAGTTGAAGACGAACCCCCTGTATCCGCACGCGAGTTGCAATATCAGCGAACCATCTCCCGCCAGGCCAACGAGAAGGCGAGTGAGATGGAGAGCAAGCTCGACGCCATGAAGTTGGCCATGGAAGCCATGAAGTCCGAGTTGCAGACGGAGAAGGCCGAAGTGAACGCCCGAAAGGCAGAGGTGGATGCGAAGAAGGCAGAGGTGGAGGCGCTGGTGAAGAAGTGCGCCGACAAGATGAATGCAGCGAACGCAAAGGAGACGTACACGGTGAGCTTGGAGAAGCAGCTCGAGGAGCTGAGAGGTAGCATGGAGGGCATGCTCGGACGCGTGTCGGTCTACCAGGGCAAGAAGCGTCGCCGGACGGAGGGACCCGACTTTCAACTGTGAGGATATTTGGATAGGCTTGGACTTGGTCACAGATATGGACTCAAAGTTTTGAGCTCTTGAAGGAGGGTATTGTGTCAGGATGTTTTCCTGGAACGTGGATTTGTTAGATTCGGACTCTACTTTGCTGGCTTCGCGACACTCTGTAGGATAAATCAGACCCAGACCATGAGTAGGTAGACATCTGATCCGGGGGAACTAGTGCCCTCACTTACACAGAACTTCTCCCAATCCTCCAATCTCCATTAAATGTGGTGGTCATGTCATGCAACCAGAGTCGAACCGTTAAAGTCGTCAATATTGAGCCGAGTCCTATTGCGATACACCCCAAAAACGCCATCCAACCATGCACCCAAGCAATGCGAAAAGAAAAAACCACCGAAGCCTCCCGCAAAGAAGACTACGCAGAAGCCTCAACCTTTTGTGACCCATCCTCCTTCTCTGTGTTGGCATCCGACACCGTCATGCCCTCAACACCCGCCGAAATCCCCGTAAACGGACACACCCCACCACCACCGCCGCCGCCGCCGGCACTATTCGGCCTCGGCAACCTCGAAGGCGACCTGGGCCCCCCACCAGGCACCCCATTCACAGCCGTCTCCTCATCACTCTCGCTCTCGAGAATCTTTTTCCCGTGGAGGTACCCTTCCTGCTCAATCTCGGGCTCCTCGCCGTCGTCGCGCTGGTACTCTGCGCCGTCCTTGCAGTGCCACTTGGCCATGAGGTCGTTCTGGATCCAAATGACTTTGCCCAGGGCCTTGACGAGGGCGATTTTCTTTTGCATGGGCAGGCGCGGGTGCGAGAGGATGGCCTCCGTCATGATGTCTTGGATGAAGGAGAGGCAGGCGCCCAGGTGGATGTATTCGATGTTGAGGGGGTGTTTGCGGCCGAGGCCGACGTGCATCATTCTGTGGTGGTTTTTGGTGTCAGCATATCGTCCTTTTCTTCCGTCTCTTCCCTCGATGTTTTTTGAGAGGATCTCTGCGGCAGGGGAGGGGGGGGGAGGGGGAGGGGTGGCAGGATAAAAACGTACCCAACCTTGTCGAGGTACTCCCAAAACTCCATCTTGCTCGGGTCGGAACACAGCTTGGCGAGGTAGGCCCGGAGGAACATCTTGCGGTGCAAAATCTGCGGCGAGTTGTCGTCGGGGACCTCGTCCATGGGGCCCTCGAAGGAAGTAGAGCGGGTGGTGAAGGCGCGGGCGGTAATGTCGTACTGCAGCAGCTTATGGTAGACAATGTTGACGACGGCGGGGATGAGGGCCTTGACGTATTTTGCGCCGTTGATGAGCGCCTCGATGTCTTCTGTAAGGTGGGATTACGTTGATTAGTAGATGTATTTACAGGTGTTAAAGCGACCAGCTGTCATTTCTTTTTCACGTTGGTCATAGAGGGAGGACGCACTACTGCTAAAGTCGAGGAAGCTGTGGAGGTAACGAATACGGGCCTCGAGGTCTGTGTAGAGCTCCTCGCGGTCAATGTGGTTCATGTGCCTCAGGAGTCCCATCTTGGCGATTCGTCTTTCGCTCTGGCTCTGGGTGGGGGGTTGAGACTTTGGTCGTTCTGGATCGTGTGATATTTGATGTCTCCAAATGCGGATCGAATCCCTTGGATATATGGCTAGACGTAGTTTGCTGAAAATATGCAGACTTTGACACTGGTGATGGTCGTCCTGTCGTTTTGGTAATACTCGAAAGGTGAATGGTTCGTTTCTCAATAGTCCCTCTCAATCTTCTTCAAGCGCGTAACAAAAAGGGGACCCCGCGATATTTGAATGAGAAAGGGTCCATCCGTGCGGCCATTGACGGGTTGGGACACATATTGTCCTCTGTAGTTCGTCCCTGCGTCATCATGCGCCGAGAGAAGCTCCATGACCTGATTGCTGGCGTCTTGGTGGTGCAGTCTCTTGTCGGGCTGAGGACACCGGCCGATGGTGGTCTGATGTCCTCGTTCGTGCCAAAGTCGCACCACTTTCTCGCTGCGCGACCGGGGGGACTCACTGGAGAGCCAGGCTGGCGGGCGGGATCCACCGCGGGAAAATTCAGCCGGGGGTCCCTGAAAGCTGCCAGGGCGATCCGCCGCAGGACGCCGGTGCCACCGTGTGATTTTTGACCACCCGGCGGGACCGAGAACTCCCGAGTGCAAGGGTCGCGCTTTTTTGACTTGTCGACTGATTCTCGTCGCGTTGGTCGCGTTGGTCAGATGCAAATCCGGGCGCGTTGCGGTGGGTTGGGAAGCGGTGGATCTTTATTCTGATGTGGTGTTTAGTCAGGCCGTTTCCTGGGTTGTTTTTCTGGGGAAATTAGGATGAAGAATGCCTGTTAAATGCCCTTTTTCCATCTGACCTGTTTCGTGGTTGGTCACATGATGCCGAGATCGCCCATGCGTTCTGTCAGACCGCCGTGGCAGGTCTCTGATACTGGGTGATTCGGAGGAATAAGGAAATATGATCTGCAGTACTCATTGGCCATCGCGACGAGTACATATATGAACAGTTGCCTCAGCTTTCTGCTCGTTTTCTCGGGAGTTCTCTCAAGTGTGAGCCCCAGCATCTTGCCAGCGGCGCTGCTCTGTTGTAAACCATTGTATTTGCTATTTGCGACGGCTCTGTGAGAGCAAGGCACTCTGGCTCGCCTCTTTCCCCACGGCAGAATTTGGTACTCTGCACTGATCTTTGTTTTACTGTTTTGTGGTTGGGAATTGTGTCAGCCAGTGGTCTTGAATGACAGGTAAATTCTCAAGGGCGACGACATTCACCTGGAAAGTTATCCCACCACAGGCTCATCGCATCCTCGCCCATACCCTCCACAGCCCTCCTCCAACCTCTACTTCTTCTTCCCCTCCACCCCCTCAACCCCTGTCGAGCCACCCCTAGCAGCAGCAGCAGCAGCAGCAGTTTCAGCACCGGAGCCGCTCGTCTTCACCTCATCACCATCAACACCCTTGCCCGCCCTCTCCGCCCGCCTAGCCGCATCCAGACCCAGCGTCCTCCGCGACGCCTCGCGCTCCTCGGCAGAGACGTCTTGGCTAGCGGCCTTGGCCTTGAGGATATGAGGCGGAACGAATCCCATGATCGGCCTGCGACGCGCGAAACCTGTGGCGGGGTTCTGATATCTTGCTCTGCGGTGGAGTTATGGGGGACCGAGCTGTGTTCTTGATCCAAGGAAAAAGTGTTTTGGTGCCTTGATGAGGAGTGCCAGTTGATATTGCGACAATGTTTTGAAAGATGTGTAAAGACGAGGTGTCGTTGAGGACGAATGAGGAGGGTGTGTAGGTTGCGACCGATGATGTAATCATTCAACGGTGAGGAGCACTCCGCGGGCGATGATGCGGAGGGATGTCACACAGCTGAACGTGGCAGGCGCCATCTCGTGAGCTTCTACGCCTGTGCCTTTGACGCCCAAGGTAGATTACATGTGCCACCCGAAAAGTGATCACAAACAGCATTGACACGGGAGGTCTTAGTAAGCCGCCCAGCTTAGGCTTGGCCCGCCAGCATGAGCTAGGTCTCGGGAGGGTAGCATCGAACCTGGCCCCGCGTTCCCGATCTCTATCTCTCCACGTTGACCTACATTGCTGGTACATGTCATAGTACTCGACATCTTGCGGGTGGGGTTTTACACCCTCGCACAAATCGACAGACTCCCTGAAGTGGACGAAAACATCATCACATAAGAATCCTGAACAGCTGCTTCATCTAGATATATCTACCGTGCAACGCAAAATAGCAAGGCCCCAGCCTGCACTACCATGGTCTCTGTATATTTGACCCGATCACAGACTCACCCACACGCCTTGACAACAACCCGAAAACCCACCGGAAGCACCCTGATAAAGACAATCACGCCTCACCTAAAATAGTCCCATCGGTCCCCGGCCTCGGCGCACCCGTCGACGACTTGCCCATGAACCCGCCCGAAACAAGATTCAGGGCCTTGGAAAAGGGGTCACCGCCCGTCTTAGTCGCCGCGGGCAAACCCGCCGCATCAAATGCCTGCTCAAAGTCCTTCTTGATGTCCTCGAACCCCTCGATGCCTACGGACACGCGGATGAGGTCGGGCGTCACGCCGCCCTTGATCTTCTCGTCATCGGGGAGCTGCTGGTGCGTCGTCATCCAGGGGTGGATGATGAGCGTCTTTGCGTCGCCCACGTTGGCTAGGTGCGAGCAGAGCTTGAGGTTGTCGACGACAGAGCGGACTTGTTCGATGTTTCCGGCCTGGATGCGGGGGCGATTAGTCATCATCTTTATTTATGACTGTCGTCTTGGGGTCAACTTATCTTGGGGTCAACTTACAACGCCAAAGGTCAGCACACCACCCGCGCCGTTGGCAAAGACCCTCTTGGCGTATTCATAGTCGGGATGCGACTTGAGGCCTGGATACAGCACCCAGTTGATGCTGGGGTGCGCCTCAAGCCACTCGGCCAACTTTTGCGTATTTTCCACGTGCCTCTCTCCTCTCAGCGCAAGCGTCTCCAATCCCTGGAGCAGAAGCCACGCATTGAAGGGACTCAGGCATGGTCCCAAATCACGCATGCTGTCCATCCGCAACTTCGCAGTGAGCGCCTTGTAACCATACGTCTCCCAGAATCTCAGTCCATGATATCCATCCGCCGGCTCAGTGAAGCCGGGGAACTTGCCCGACGCGTTCCAGTCAAAGTGGCCCCCGTCAATGACGATACCGCCCATCGATGTGCCGTGGCCGCCGATCCACTTTGTAGCGGAGTGCGTCACGATGTCGGCGCCCTGCTTGATGGGTTGGCAAAGGTAGCCGCCCATGCCAAAGGTATTGTCGACAATGAGGGGCATGCCGTGCTTGTGCGCCACATCGGCAATGGCCTTGATATCCGGGACGCTGTGCTTCGGGTTGCTGATCGTCTCGATGTAGACGCATCGCGTGTTCTCGTCAATGGCAGCGGCAATGTCGGCGGGCTCGTTACCAACCACCCACTTGACGTCGATTTTAAACTTCCTCATGTACACCCGGAACTGGTTGTACGTGCCGCCGTACAGCCAGCTGGTGCTGACAAAGTTATGACCCGGCTCGCAGCAGTTGGTCAGAGCCATGAACTGCGCCGCGTGACCGGAAGCTGCAGCGACGGCGCCGACGCCGCCCTCGAGCATCGCCATGCGCGTCTCGAAGATGCTGTTGGTCGGGTTTCCCATGCGCGTGTAGACGTAGCCATCTTTACTCCATGCAAACTTGCTGGCGCCATCTGCACTCCGATGTCAGTGTATGACGTTGCATGTCATGTCCGTGATAGTAACTGACCGGCAGCATCTGTAAAGTTGTAGGCGGCCGTTTGGTACAAAGGAACAGCTCGGGAGCCGTTGACTGGGTCGGGCTCTTGGCCGCCGTGAACAGCAATCGTGGAGAAGCTTGGTTCCCTAGTTGGCCAATGTTGTCAGCTCATGTGGCAGTTTCTGTCAAGGCAAAGGCCGATCGGGCTCCTCACCAGTCCACGTTGCTCAGAGATCCGGAGACGGGCATCTTAACGGTGTAAGATATGATTTGAGAGGGGTAGTAGTCTATTATTGCGTTCTGGTTCCTGATCCAACTCCGAATTCTCCGTTGGAATTTGTTGTTCCAGCTTTGTATCGTCCCATCATGGCGAATGCCAAAATCTTAAATGATCCCCAACGCCCTCGGAGCAAATGCATCACTTTGTTTCAATCGTTCGATGCCCCTCAGATTGGCGCACACATTGCGGCTTGTTGCATGTTGGAGGTGCCTCGATCTCCGGTCTTTGCTGATAAGTGAGCAAACCCCGCAAACACCCCCCCCCCCCCCCCTTTTCTCAGACACGCCCGAGACTCCACCCAGAGGCCACGTCTAGATCCCATATCGGGGCGTCGTTAGATGCCGTTGGAACCAAATGCGGGCGAGCTGCGAGGCAGTTTGCAGATAGACTGGAGCAAACATGCCGATCGTGCCATTACTGGACGGGACCGTTAAACATCATTGTGGGTTCGATGACACTCCGAATCTGGTCTGCAGCATGACGTTAGCAATAGCGTAAAAAGCAATGTGCCAAACAACCAGAGGTAGCCGAGTCTGAGGGGTTTCTTACCGCGCATACCACCAAGTGCTTCAAACGCCGTGGCATAATTCTCCAATGTCGCCGAGATAGAGGCCAACCCTGTCTGCAGGCGCATCAGGAGGCTTTCCACCATTGGCGTGGCTAGTGCGTTCTCCGGGTACATGGCTTTGGTCTTGTGATTGACCATAAGCAACGCGTATGCGCATTGCATAGCGCAACAAGCGAACGAGGGCATAGTCCTCGGGCATACGATTGTCGACGTGGGTGCCAGATAGCAAGGGGGAGGGCACAGCTGACCGAAAGGATTGGGGTACGGCAGGTCGTCAAAGGATTGTGAGATGTTAATGGCCGCCTTGAGACAGATTTTGGCCGACTGGTGACTGCTGAAGGGGAACGTGGCTGACGATTGGCTACTGGGTGAGTTTATCGAGCGAGGAGACTTCTTTCCTGGTGGTGTAGTCGATCCGTTTGATACGGCCACTGGCGGTGATGGCAAGCTCATCATGGAGCTGCAAGAACATGACGGCCAACTTCGTGGTTCCATGTTGGCATCGTTGTCGGATTTGGACTTGAGATCGCAGTACTTCCCGGAGAAGACGGGCATGTCAAAGAAAGCGCAATATCGGTGAAGCTTGATTCGCGCGCTATTGGATGTCAGCATCTGCGCCTGATTTGGAAGGAGATGCATATACTTGCCTGTTGAGTTTGATTCGAGCCATGCACCGGAGGGAGCGGGACAAAATTTCTTCCGTAGGATCCAGTGGCGTCGTTGTCGTTGACTGAAGGATCCAAGAGTCGGCCATCGTGTTGAGGGGCTCGAGATACGCCTCCATCTCCTTCATGCGCGCGTAGATCCGTGCCATGTCGCCGCCGGATTTGACAGTCTTGTTGAGCTCGATGACAAATTGGGTTGCTGACAGGATCGCTTGCTGGGCCTGGATGTACACGGCAAATGCCTAGACGATGGTAAGCTTCCATCACAGCCGGCTTGTCATGATACATACCTCAGGATCCGACTGTATTACGGGGTATTTGGCAGTGTAGCTTGGGGTGAACACAGAAAAGGTTGGTTCCTAGATGCTGTTGTTAACATTCGCTCCTTGTGCGCGGGTAGGAGGACATACTGAGTTGCTGACAATCGACCCTTGACACACGCAGATGTACTACAAGCATCGTCAGCGAGCCGTGTTACCAAAAGTGGCAGGAGAAACGCACTGTCATCCACCAAACCCTTCGCCTCGCTTCTGAGAATGCATCGTCTTCGGTGCAGGTGTGGATAGACAAAGACATGGCAGCAACTAGGGCTTGGCCTGCCCGCACCTGCATCTTCTTCAAATTGCCCCGTTGCGCATACTCGTAAACACTGAGAATATCCAAAGCGATGACGCTCTCCAGTTCGATAGGCACGCCAGGGTGGAATTGTTGTCTGGTAAAATCATCCGGAGACTCGTTGAGCGCCTTGGGTGGCTCAATGGACGAATCCGGTATTTCTGACTCAATCTCAATGCTTTCGATGGCGCATTGAGCCAGATACTGTGCATACCTCCGCCGGAAGACCACTGACTCTTTATTGAGGTGGTTGGTGTCGTTGTGGTACGGGATCAACGCAAGGATTGCAGAGATGGCCAGGCTGATGGGTGTCGACGGCTGATATTCATCTGCGAAGCCGTCCGTATCGTTCTGGAAGTGTGGCACAGCTTGATCAATGGGCAAGCGTACAGGAGCAGGAAGAATGGGGAAGAAGGGGTGAATGAAGATATAGTAGGCATCGAGTCTGTTGAGTAGTGAGCAGTTGATATTCTCTCGCAAGTGTAAGGGTCTGCTTTTGCTTACATGGCCTCGTCACTCTTATACGTTCTGGCAACTGGGATGGGAGGCGTTGGGAAGCTGAATGAATGTTCCGATGCGCTCTCGCCGCTAGTGCTGCCAGGCACGCCCGACATGAAGAGGGTATCGAAGATGAAGTCGCTGTCTTGGAAAAAGTCCTGCAGCTGCTTCAAGCCCGCGCCAGGGTCGATGTAATTTTGAACAGAGATGGCTGTAGCCTCAGTCAAGAGCTGCCCGGACGCGGATCCCAGGCGTAAAGACTCACGATCTTGATGAGTGACCTCGTCTGGAGGCATCTCGCCATTGAACACCTGAACCTGCTGAGCCAGCTCTTCAGCCGGCCGCGGCTTTCGCCTCACGCGTGCGCCACCTCTCCTGCTGGGTTTGAAGACGCATTCGCGCCCCCTGCTTTTACACTGTGATATGTCAGTCACCGTTTCCAGGCATAATGGGCAGAGCACTGGATTGAGCCAGGACAGCAACTTACACTGGCACATGGACTTGAGCCATCGCATCGAGTGCGCGAAGCTCGGCTATCTACATGTGAGCCAAGGGTCTGGGGTATGTGTGCCTCGGTCAACATAGCGACCGCGCATTGAACGGCGACCGCGGGCAAAAATTGCTTCCGATGACTAGATGAGGAAGACTTACCAGGCAAGGCAGGCAATCTTGACTGGGGGCGTCGCAAACTTCTTCTTGGCTGCGGAGGCCGGCCCAGGAGGTACAACGGCTTCTGTCATTGTGCTCATGGCCAAGTGAGATGCTTACAAAAGACCGACGAGATAGAATGAGGTCAGCCGCGTTGGTCCGAGAGACGGATGTCAACGGCGGGAGATGGGGGGGGGG